TAACTCATTTAGCCATGATCGTGGAATTTCTCAACATCTGTACCGCTTTTTGACGGAATCTTCTATCAATCAGAAATGCTGGTTAATCAATGCAAAATTTTGTAATTTTTCTTTTTATTTATTATTCAAGCTTTCAAAGATTTTGCTCAATGCCTCTAAAATCTATTTTATATTTTGCATGCGGTTTGCTTTATTTTAATGTAATCAACAGCGTCGAGTTTTTTCATTTCATTGATCTACAGAGCTTTTCTATTGCAGAATTTGGAACTAAAAATTGTATATTATACAGGATTGTATTTAAAGTCCCTCAAACTGTGTCTTGCGTTGGGACAACAGTTTATCCGCATCAAATTCAACACGGCTGGGGAGGTTGAAACTACTTGGTCTCCAAATGTTTTGATTTGCTATCAATTTCTGTGTGAATTGCCGAGCTAAAATGTGAAAGGTTTTTCTTTTTAGTAGCAGCTACCGTTGAATATTACTCTGTTGCCTGCGTGGGCTGCTCTGTTGCCTGCGTGGGCTACTCTGTTGCCTGCGTGGGCTACTCTGTTGCCTGCTTNTGTATTGCCTGCGTAAGTTGCTCTGTTGCCTGCGTGGACTGCTCTATTGCCTGCGTAAGTTGCTCTGTTGCCTGCGTGGACTGCTCTATTGCCTGCGTAAGTTGCTCTGTTGCCTGCGTGGACTGCTCTATTGCCTGCGTAAGTTGCTCTGTTGCCTGCGTGGACTGCTCTATTGCCTGCGTAAGTTGCTCTGTTGCCTGCGTGGACTGCTCTATTGCCTGCGTAAGTTGCTCTGTTGCCTGCGTGGACTGCTCTATTGCCTGCGTAAGTTGCTCTGTTGCCTGCGTGGACTGCTCTATTGCCTGCGTAAGTTGCTCTGTTGCCTGCGTGGACTGCTCTATTGCCTGCGTAAGTTGCTCTGTTGCCTGCGTGGACTGCTCTATTGCCTGCGTAAGTTGCTCTGTTGCCTGCATGGACTGCTGTGTTGCCTGCGTGGACTGCTCTGTTGCCTGCGTGGGCTGCTGTGTTGCCTGCGTGGGCTGCTCTATTGCCTGCGTTGGAAACACAGTGTCACACTTTGCATGGGCAGCAAATATCAACTCATTTCTTGTATCTCCCAATACGCAGCAACGCTGAAATGATTGTGACGTCATACGATATTTATCAGTTTAAGAATAAAGGCTAAAACTAAAAAAGTTGCATAAAACATTTTACTGAATAAAATTCCTAGATAAACAAAACAGAACGTTTCGGGCTATGCCCATCATCAGCTAGTAAAATACATCTGGAAATACACGGAAATCAATTTTAGTAAATAAATTTTTAATAAATAAATTTATCACTGATATTTATCAGTGATACGAAGCGCCCACTGTGCTGCGTATCAGTGATATGAAACGGCCACTGTGCTGCGTATCAGTGATACGCAACGGCCACTGTGCTGCGTATCAGTGATACACAACGGCCACTGTGCTGCGTATCAGTGATACGAAACGCCCACTGTGCTGCGTATCAGTGATATAACGGCCACTGTGCTGCGTATCAGTGATACGCAACGGCCACTGTGCTGCGTATCAGTGATACCGTAACGGCACTCATCTTGCGGTGACGCCGACTCCCAGCGTCATGTTCATCTGAGACTCCTTCCCAGTTCTCCTATTAATTAATGCGTAATCATTTAGACTATATTTTCACTCAAAATTCATAATATTTTACTTTTAAACTTTCTATCCGCACTAACATGCGAGTTTTGGATGTTCCTCAGCATGGAGGAATGCCATGGATTTCAAACCGCGAGCTTGACATGTGACAGGCAATTCGTGTTCATGTCACATGCCAGTTATGGTAGACTGTTTGTGTGTTTGTCGTCATTATGTTGTGTTTGGCGACACATTTGTGCATAATTCATCTCGTAAAGGAAAGCTGCAGCTTCATCAACTTATCGTGCTAAAACGTTTATATACAGCAACATAGTTGCCCATAAATATCTTTACGTGTTTTCCGTACAAAGTAAATAACTTCTATCAGCAGTGTTTTGTGTCCTTTCGCGGTTGCCATCTCCAGATTCCCGCATCAAGAGGCATATCTTGTGATAGTGAACGTATGAGCTGTGGTGGTGCAGTGGTGAGAATCTCTGTCTCTCGCACCAAGCGCCCGGGTTCGAGTCCCACTGAGGACAAGTTCTACCGGGAAGCTCAGCTCATGGTCAACTCAGCCATTCATGCAACTCTGGTTGATAAATGAGTACCTGGCTTGTCCAGGGTGTTGTGTAATGCAATAAAATGGTTCTGGAGGGTCAGCGAGCCAGTGATGGTCGTGGAACTACCAGTGGCACCAAGTGCCCGGTAAAACTGACCTATCACCCCCCCTCTTGTCGACACTACCAGGATGGGCAATTACAACAACATAGTGAACGTATGCCTTAATGATGCACTCGTCGCAACGAAGAAGCCATGCTCCATCGCCTCTATCGTCCTGCGTTGGCTGAGATCCTGTCGGGCTTCTGCAGCCACCTCGCGTCCTACACGCTCTGGGTATGGCGTGCCCCAAAACCCCAAGCGCGGTTTGTCTCGAGTGCAGAGATCCCCTCCACTCCACTGGAGGGGACTGACTGGTTTGTTTCGAGTGCAGAGATCCCCTCCAGTCACCTGAGAACCTCTTCTGCCTGTTCTTCCTCGAGAACCTCCCCATCTCCTCCTTGGGGTTGATCCCCAAATAGGATTGATAACCCTGTTCGAGCTCCGGTTGTTTTTGGCCTCCCGACCATCATTTATCCATCACCCTCCTTCGCCAGTGGTCCTTCCCCGCTCGCCTCCTCCGGCTTGCCTGGATGTCTATGGTAAGAACAGCACCAAAAAAATTGATAGTTTTATAAGATTATTAGAAAGTATGCTCTTCTGTATTTAAGCGGAGCTACCATGCCAGTTTCCTGTCAATTTTTAAAGGCCCCGCCATTTCTCTAAATGAACCGAGATAACTTGTCTTGACTATAAACTCTCAGAAAACGAATGAGGAATAGTCCCGGAAAAGGAGATAAATCAGATCAATAGCTGTATCCAGGATATTAAAACTTGTGTCCCGGATATTAGGAAACGATGCGAGAAAGATAAACATAAAACGAAGGGGAACGAATCGATTAGAGACAAACATTGAATGTTTATGACTAGACAAAATGTTCCATAAAGTTACATAACAAAACGTGGCATACCGAACCTGCAGATTAAGAAATAACAAACTGAGTCCAGGGGCGTGTGACGTAGGACAGCTTTGCCCAACTTTACACCTTCAGTGGTCGCGTGATTACATAACAATAGCGGTTTTAGCGTAAATTAGGCCGGAGGCCTGTTGCCAATTCTTACCATCGTAGAATAATCACAGCTTGTTGCGCTCTCGAACTCTCAAGTCACTGCTTCTATTTGTCTTGCTCAACCGCCCGGCCTCCTTGCCGATTCTAACCAGAAACTGTCGCACAGAGCTGGGATCGAAGCTGCACGTCTCTGCTTCAATCCTGGTACTCTGAACTGTAACCACTGGACCACCATCCACGCCTACGAAAATTAACCGCAACGAAACCGACCGAAAGTGGCAACCAATCTGGTAAATTTTTGCACGCAACCACTGTATGGTTAAGTGCGCATTATTTTGTGAGTTATAACGCTAGAGGACATAGCAGCCTTTAAAGTCAATTGTTGTAAACCATAGCGTCGGATGTCCACAGCCTTTAATTTAAGCATGCTAAAGGTAAGCATGGCTTAGCTGCATCTGGCCGAACCTACACAAGTGGCAACATTTCTCCACACAAAAGAGACCTGAGCGGGCCTAACCTAACCCCAGCGGCTGCAATAAGTTAGCAAGGTGGTTCAAGAGAGTTGAAGAGCCAGGCTTTGGTTGTAAGAAGATTCTGAGACGGGAGAGCGTGAATAGGTCAGGTCACCACCAGAAGAGGGTAGGCCAGAGTGGGTGTAGCTGGATGCACAACTAACCTCAGCTCTAAAAGACGAAGAAGAGGATGCATAACTACCTACTACTGAGCAAGCATCCATGAATATTGGATATGAAGACCTACGACGTTATCTTTAAGCAGCCAGTTGCTGCTCTAGTTCAAGCGTATTCTGCCACTTCTACTTCCGGTGCTGAGTAAAGTTATAGCATCCTGAGGCTGGACGTTGACTTCAAGGGATCAAGGCCTATTTGAGAGTTGAATTTGAGGCCTACGGCTGCACCCCATGAGGACTTTGGGATGATCCGTGCTAATGCTCACGCTCTGTTAGAATAGAATAGAAGTGTCGGCACTGAAGAAATAGGCCCATGGCCTGTTGCCTATTCTTGAATTTTTCGTGACTTGACTCACAAGGGATCCAGCCTTTGGAACCCGATCTTTCCATAGCTGACGATTGATTGAGATAGCTGCTTAATTCTAGTAATCCTTCTGGGACTTTGTATAAGCCATGAGTATGCAGGCCGAGACATACTTGTATGCAGGCCGACCTGTGGATCACATAGCCTTTTGTCGCCATATTATTATCACCAACATGTTTACAAGTTCTTGTATTTTATTGCTGACTTTTTTGAACACGCAGAGTATGATTAAGCTGCACCACTTTGAATTTTTCCTTTGAAGAGTATTATTTATCAACTTACAATATTGATAAAATCGTTCAGTATGAAAAGTCTATAATTCATACTAAATTTATCACTTATAGAGGCTATAATCCTGAAAATTTCTATGAATCCCAAGTCGTAAAATACATGAAAATAGGATAATTTTCAGGTGGAATTTGTAACTGATCTGTGAGTGATGAAATTTTTTCACAATTTTTGTCGTAATCAGCAGTTTTGAACCCAGTGTTATATATTGTTGAACCCACAGTCAAATATGAAACAATATTTCATCGCAAACCTGTGTTGTTTTCTCCGAATAAAATTTCTATCGGAAATTTTGTACAGAAAGTTATTTTTCCCGCACTGCGGATTGGATAATCAAATCTCATTACTTGTAATGTCAACACAAGAATGCAGTGTGATAAGTGCTTTTCGATAAATCAATGTTGATATCCATCAATAATATGGCCGTAGTGCTTAGGCTTACTGCATTATTGATATTGTTAGTTTCATTTTCTAGTTTTGCATATTCTACATCGAATAATAATGCCGCCATTGATTCAAAATGTTCAAAAGAAACACAGACAGATGAAAGTAGCTTTTCGGAGGAGCTTCTAGTGCGACCTCTGCCCTCTGGACACGTGCATTCTCACTTTGAATTCACAACAAAATGGAGTAATCCTTCAATAAAGTCTTCTCTAGAGAGCTATCATGATCTAAGTGAGTGCCATTTGTTTGTACTTAATTCACTATGAATGCAAATAACTTGTCAAGTTATCATTGGCCAAGAAATGAATTCTTTGCCAATCCCGATTAGAAATTTAAGGTAATGATCAGGAGTACTGCTTTTCAAAATTCTCACGGAATTACACCGAACCACCATTGCACGGATTTTGTAAGAGATCTTGAACATTCTCACAGAATTGCTATGTTTTCACAATTCATCATTTAAACAACTAACATCTAAATTTCGTCTAAAAGAAGATTACTCATTACGTTGCCTTAATCCTTGAGCGTAGAAAATAAACACCTAAATTGTTTTAGTGTACTGAATTACTGCATCCATCGCACCTTCTTCAACTCCACAGTGCACGCTATCAGTTCCGTCTCCTACGATGCGGATGTGAGCAGCTACTTTATATAATGCAGTAGCTACGCTAAAAATAATAGAACCGATGTTTTTTAAGAAACAAAGGTACACATTTTAATCACACAATAATAAATACGGAAATAAATACGAAAACTTCAAATTAGTTGAACATACTTGTGATGTATTATTACAGTATTTTTTACAGCATATAGCATGAGTAACCATTTATGGGTTGAAAAATAAGGATTACATATTAATATAGGCAAAAAGTATCACAATCATGGTGGCAGGGAATTATTGTGAGTACTTATCGGTCCACTGCCGTGCGTCGGTCTTAACCCTTCGCAAGGCCCCATGCCCTTGGCCCTTGGGCCCCTCTTGCAAGTTGTAATGGTCTAAACTCAACAGTTCTCGCGCGGATTTCGCTTTGCTGATTGCGCTGCGGAATTCGTCTTGAATTCATTATCAATTTTGTGCATCTTGCGGAATTAGTGCCAATTTTTCGCAGCCTAAGCCCTCTACGGAATTCATTAACAGGCGAACTAATCCATCTGAAGTCGCGTTTTTTCCACTTAGGTTTGCCATTAGATGTTCCTAAAAAAATTAAAGACTACTATTCCCAAGGTTTATACAAAGAGTATTTATGAAATAATTTGTTATTACATATTTTCTAGTAGAGAATTTATGTTAAGGCCTTAGTGGCAAAGCAGAGACTTTTTAAGACTCTTCTTTAAGTTCATTTTTGAGTCCCAGAAGTAGACCAGTAAAGTATCATCATCTATCATGGCTACCAGCATTTTCATACATGAGAAAATGGTTTAAATCTTGAGTAGATCAGTAGATGAGAATATTAGAAAAGAGTTAATTCTGCTCTGGAAAACTCATTGTTTACCACAACTCCACTGTGCAGAGAGTGGATGAATACCATCAAACGGGGTGAAAAGGGACGGGCGGGGTAAATAGGGATGCGTGTCCCACATTTCGTAGAAATGTTGTAGCAGCTAAACTAATCAAAATATTGCAAAACTAAAAATAGTGGAGTAAACTTCAACATTTTTGCTATCTATTATGTATAAAACTAGTCAATAAATCAAACATTTACTATCTCTAAAAAATCTCTGAAAAAAGTGTGAAAAGTGCGATTTTGGAAAAGTACCTCTGCTAATGTCTGGAGGCTGGAGCAAAAAAAAAAATATTCGCTGTATTGAAAAATTTTACTTATATAAAAGTTGCACCCAGATGTTGGCTTGAAAACATAATTGATAGAATTTGCCTATCTCATCTAAAAAAAAATGGCAGCCATTTCCATGCGATGGGGTAAAAGGGCACACCCTTAAAAATGCATTTACAGTAGAAGCTCAGTTAGCAAAGGCTCCAGTTAACAAAAAATTGATTAACAACAAAGAATTTTGATTACAGTTACCTTGCTTGGTGAAAAAAATTCACTTATCAAAAAATTAGTGCATCATCGGTCATCACAAAATTGTACATAGAATGCTTTATATAGAGTTGTACACTCACTGCACTGGGCATCATAGAATGAAAAGTAATTGACCTAAACTATGATTTATTTCTTCAAAACATATGATGGTTGTCACTAAAACATTATTTTCTGTTTCAGGTATGTTTTTCACAATCGTTTTTGTTATAGTGAAATCACTAGACTTGATTAAAATTGTGCAAAATTACAAACCATCCTGTAAGCTTACAGATACTGAAGAAATGCTACATGGCTGCTGATATGAAGCTTGCAGTGGACAAGGTCATTGTCAATGTTCAATGGCATGTCCATGGATACAGTAATATCACATTAATAATACGGTAATTAATGAATATGGTAATATCATATCAATAAAGGAAAAACAAGTAAAAATCACAGAAAATGCCATTTATTTTACATCTACATCATCTACAATGAAAAAGGAGGACTTCAGAGTACTGTTAGTAATAGATGAGTTCACTCTGCATGCTTCAAATGTTCGAAATTGAGTTTTATTTCAAGTGTCCCATTTTACCCCATTTCAAGATTAATTCAGGAGCCTTTTATATTGCATCTAGTGCCTTACAATTAGCATATGGAATTTTTTGAAGATGCCATTTGATAGCCCTTGCAAAGAGCTATAAAATGAGCCTAATTTGTTTCTGAAATGTTTCATGGTAAGAAGTTATTAACAAAAAACGCTCAAAACTGTCCCTTTTTACCCCGTTTGACGGAATTGCAAGATCTTTGGCGATGCTTCAGTAGCAAAATTTATGCCTTCAGAAGATCTTGCCAACACATTTAGATTGAAATTCTTGCATTTAATATATTTGTCAGTCTTCGGCCAACTATTTAGAAAAAGTAAGGTTTCTGGTACGTTGGATGGATCAGGATGCAATGAAGCTTGTCCAGAAATCAGTTGCGATGAGTTCCCACCAAAAAAAAATGTAAACAACAAGTATATGATTGCGTAGTTGTGGTCACATTAGAGCGGTCAGACTGCATTATCACATGTTCAGTTGACACTTGCTGTACAATCGGACTGTATTTAGGGTAAAATTAGTTATTTGGGGTAACACGTGCAGGCAACCTTGTAAATAAGTTCATGGCTTGTAAATAGTTTTTCATTACTCAGCGTAAATGGCTTTTCATTAAAAATTACCCGGCGACGCATCTTGAAAATGGTTGGCAATGCTTTGAGCTTAAAAACCCATATATTGGTAACGCTGCTTCCACCCTCTGCACCCTGGCCTTAACTTGCAGCAAACAAAAATTGAAGTTGCAATGTAAATTCACTCTAATAATAATGAGCTTCAAGAAATAATCTTTTTAATATAGTTTTACATATCTCTTTGTAACATTATTTCAAATTTAAAAGTCCACAGTTTCTCTTCAATGACTTTTTAAATTTTTTAATTTGAAAGTTTTAGTTTGCAACTACCATAGTTTTAACTTCTAGTCTCAGCAACTAGGAAATCATGAATGCAATTTGATGGCTGAACATGCAGCAATGCCCACTAAGGTTTCTGTTTCTATTTAATGTATAATATGTAGAAAAATCATGAGAAAAGTCCATAATCAATTATTCTTCTGTTTTCAGAGTTGAGTCATTACGATCTGTTTCCCCGAGCCCTGGGTGAAGTTGTGGAGAAGTACCATGTGCGAGAGCTTCACTTGACGTTGACACAAGGATTGTGGCGTCATCACAAGTGGGGATACCCAGTGGCTGATGCTCCTCCTGGTGCCACACTCTGGGTTTGGTTTAATCCAGCCCCAAAAAATGTGTAAGACAAAGTTTTCATTTTGAAATTTGTGCTCCAATTCTTTAACTGGAATGCAAAATCCATTAAGGCAACATATTGCTGCATGATCAATATCATCTAAAATTGTACTGAAATTATTCTTTTTCTAGTTCTGCAATTGAAGGGGGCTAACATAAAGTCCTTCAAATAATAATGATTTTTTTTCTACTTCTGAAGATGAATAAATATTTTATTATGTGTATCTTCTTGAATCATTGTGTTTTAAGAATCATATTCTGTAACTGTGGTTTTTCCCTAGGATCATTCATTATGGGACCCATGTTACATAGCATGATACATAGCAGATTGTTGTTCATAGAGAAATCCATTAAAAAAGTCTTCCTTTTAATTAGAAATTTTACTGATGCTTCAGCCAGTTATCTCTTATGTAAAGTTACTTCTATCTTGAAGAAGTTCCGTTTATAATAAAATGTGCAGATCACTCATGGTCATGTGAGCACTTCTCAATTTTTATGTCCATTAGGAACTAGACACTCTTGACTATTTAAACCTTGCTATTCTGATGTTTTATAATATTCCATCATGTATGCATTTTTGTGCCCTGATGGCATAAAAAGCTCTTTCAGTGTTTTAATGATTGCCATGTTCATGTTACCTACACGTGGTTATTCCTCTTCTATATACCTAGGTACCTATCAATGTTTGGTTTTACTTGAATTCATTCGCTTACTCATAATTGTACTGTTCTATCTGAGAACCTTCATGCTATTTTAAGGAAAAGAGAAAATTCTAAATAACCTTGAACTATTATCATAGGTAGGTACTTGCTAAATTTCAAATTGAATGTTTTGTCATGATAAGTGTGATAAATTTCTTAAATTAAGCCTTGCTTAGTATCTCACTATATTTTGGAATCTTTCTCATTCATGCTTTACTGATGACTTGTATGATTGCAAGTAGGATGATGCCTCCAATAGGGTTCTTTCAAATATTTAATGAAGAGAACTTTCTATACTGAAATATGATGCTTATGAAATATTATCATTTTTTCACCGATTCATTGCATGAACACAGGCTGGACGATGCCTGGCGGGACTTGGTGAATGCCCTGAGTGGGCTCTTCTGTGCCTCACTGAACTTTATTGATGGCAGCAACACAGCCTCCCCTGAACTCAGCTACAGGCCTTCTGGCCTAGCCCAGCCTTGGTCTGTACTAATATATAGGTACCCTATATGTACTTATTTAATTCTTTTTAATTGAAATTGTGTTCACTTTTATCATTTGATTGAACTACAAATACTGTAAGACAACTTGTTGATTGTATATACCTATGCCTACTCAATTCCTTTTAATTGAAATTGTGTTCACTTTTGTCACTTGATTGAACTACACTTATTTAAGACGATTTGTTGATATATGAATATTTTGAGGATACAGTATCTTATTATTTCCCTTTTATTTGAAGTATAAAATATTGCATTGATAAAGAATTTGGAAAACATAAAATCTCATTATTTTCTGTAGATGTCTCTTTTAAATTTTAGTGCATTAGAGAAAAAAAAACACTTTCAGGTTATTAAGCTGCTGTAAAAGTGAACTATAATGAAATAGAAATTTCTATAAACTATCCAAATAAAAACTGTTCTTAAAGATGTACTAATGCCTAAAATCATTGGCCACTGCCTTTTAAAATGTCTATTTTATGAAAGATTAGCAGGTTAACCTTGTTGGTTCTGAGATAGAAAATTTGAAAATCCCATCATCCTGCATACTGTAATCCTGAATTCTGTAATTCCAAAGGCCATTATCCCAAATTCTGTATTCAGGGTATTTATCAAATCAAACAGAAGAATTTTTAAGATTCCCTTGTTTAACAAACATTTTGCCATGTGCTCGTAATTTGGAATTAAGAGCAAATTCAAATTTTTTATTGAATGAAATTCAAAGAAACAAAATGAATAGGTACCAAATTCAGATTTATTTCATAGTCCCTCTTCCCTCTCCTTGAAATGCCTTACTATTCTCCTCCTCTTTACACAAATTCAGAACCAAGTTAAATCCCGAAGCAAGAAGTATCAAACAGTCCCTATATATTTTTGTGCCAGGCTGCAAACATGCAAAATTAGATGAACATATGTAAGATTATGACAATTTGAATAGAAAATAACTTGGAAACATTGAACTCGACCTTCTCGTTCCAGGTATGCTTCAAATTCTTCCTATTTGCGTGTTGCTGCTTTGGCTCGTGAGAATGTTTGTACAGAGAACCTCACGCCATGGAAGAAGCTCCTGCCCTGCGACACAAAGGCCAGTTTAACTTTTTTGTTTCAAATGATTTTAACCATTTTTTTTGTGCAGCCTCAGTTCTTAGTCATCTCCTGATGGTCAATTTTATATAAAATTTCGGAAAATATTTTAATAAAAAGTAGAATTATAAATTAAAAGGAGTGAGGAAGAAAAACTAGGATTGACATGCTATAAACAACTATGGCCATAAATAGCTAATTTAATAAATTTATAGCAAACTGTTGACTAACAATTATTTATAAAATTGTTTTCTCAGGCTGGTCTGGCAAGTGTGCTGTACCCTAGCCCTCTCTACTCAGCTCACTACCACTCCCTGGGCGTGCACCTCAGGCCGTCCTGTCAGGTACCTACACCAGTAAAACTTGTCAGGTACCTACACCAGTAAAACTTGTCAGGTACCTACACCAGTAAAACTTGTCAGGTACCTACACCAGTAAAACTTATCAGGTACCTACACCAGTAAAACTTGTCAGGTACCTACGCCTGTAAAACTTTACTGCCTCTGTTCAATCAAAATTGAACTAACTGTAAATTCCTAATGAAATTAGAATTGCCTAATTATTATCTTCATAGTTAATTATAAATTTTATGATGAATTTGCTTTTTTCTTTGTTGAAGGTAGCCTTCGTTAACTTACCATAATAATCAGAATGACCTTTACGGTTTTCCTGGACAAAAAATTTTAATATTTAATACTTGAAGATGGGAATAACGAATATAAAGACACAATCTCTCTAAATAATTCCTGAAGTTTGTTGGAATATATATTTTTAATAATTTTATGAATGTTGTTCTCGGTGCTCAGCGCGAGTTAGTCTCCAATCTCTTAGTCCATAAGACAGCAGCTTATTTCACTCGTGTGTTCACTTATATAATGTTTTAGTACAATTAACATAAAATCATTAGGTACATTCTTTAGAACTGAATGATATTTTTGTGGTTTTGCTCAAGTTAAGGCCTGACCTCAGTGATGATTATGTTCTCTTATTATTGGTATTATGATCTCTTTATTATTTTCTTTTAAATAATAATTATAATTATTCTCTTGTAATTATGAATATTCATCTATGTAATATGCACAGTATAGTTCCCTGCTCGTTCTGTTCTTTCAAACTGAATAAATTCTCAAATATTATTGCAGGATCCTGGCGCATGCACGAGGCCGCAGCTGGAGCTGGTGCTGTCAGTGTCGCTGGTGCAGCAGCGGCTGCAGGAGGGACGGCAGGACTTCACCCTGCGGGGGCTCTACTCGTCCCCCATCTTCTCCGTGTGTCCTATGGCATACAAGTCCATGCTTTATGTCGACGTCACTGGAAATGAGGTCATAATCCCTTGCTTGTTATAGTTTTTTACCACGTTTTTCTTAGCTCGCTTTCGTGTCCCTCTGTCTGTCTGTGATGATCAAATCTTGCAATCGATATTCACCAACTTTCCCACTAGCTAGCGCTCTGAAACTTTTAGGGAAGCTCAGCTCCCGATGACAATACAATAATCAATAATTTGTTGCACGTTTCCAGGCGTATTTATTCAATGAAATGTCTTTATTACAGCTACGCACCCAGATAGATACGGGAACAACAATGTATCCCCTCGAATACAATTTTCTACAGAACTTCGAAAAGAATTTTCTTTCGTGCATTTTTTTTTAAAGGCCTCCCACACTCACCATTCCAACAAAAAAAAAAGAATTGATTTTATTAATTAAAAACAGGGAATGGTTTCACGTCAATGATCAGGGCCCCGACCTTAACGCCTCTGATGGTGGCCTACACCGACTCCGAGGGTCACTGAGCTGTGACGCGAGCGAGGAGCGGGCCCACGTCGAACTTTTCTCTAACTGCTGTTAGGATGCTTCTACTTTTTAGTCCACAAGAAAAACGTGTGTTTTTTTAAGTATTTTATGTAATAAATAACTCGTCCCCTATCGTCTCCGTGTGTCCCATGGCATACAAATCCATGCTCTAAGTCGACGTCACTGGAAACGAGGTTATAATCCCTTACTTGTTATTGTAATATTATTACAGAAGTTAATTATATCTGAACTGACATTGTGAGACATGATTAGTAATCCCTCAAACATTTCTAATCGTTTCCTAGACATGACGTCCGTGTATGAAGTTTTAGTCTCTGACAGAAAAGTCAGAGATCATATCATTTAACGACGGGTAAAGTCACCTCAGTTGACAGTACCTCGTTCTCACTCAGGACGGCCGCACGTTCAGCCTCAGTCCCCCACCGTCAGAAGTGGTGACCCGCGGTGCAGGGCTCGGCTCTGCCAGCCACCGCGTCTTCGCCGTCTACGACCTGCAGGAGACGCTCAGCAGCAGCCGTGACGCACTCAACGTCGCCGCGCGATACGCTAAACGCCACACATACGCACACGTGTCTGGTCCTCCTCTCGTGGCCACGCGCTACATCGCTGGTGGGGAGGCGAGCTGTGCTCATGTTGTTGTAGTTGTAGTTGTTATATAGTGTCCTTATAGTGGTAAAAAATATAACTCGGTACTCACTGCAGTGAGTGACAGAGAGAATGTTGTTGTTGTTGTTATAATTGCACGTCATTATAGTGGTAAAGAATATAACTCAGTACTACTCACTGTAGTGAATGACAGAGAGCGCATTTTCTCAAAATCGTCCAAAACGAGAAGTCACAAACAGACAGACGCACGGACGGACATGACGAGCACAATAGGGCTATTTCCATGAATAAGGAAATGCGCTAAAAAGGGTCAATTTTTGAGCTTCTCAGGGACGTTAGATGTCAGTTCTGCTCATCGTCAATCGTGCTTCTCCTTCGAACTCAAACAGCATTAGAAATGATGACTTCTTCTTCTTTCTACCTGCATCGTAGATGAGTCGTTGCTGGGCAATCAGCCCTCTAAAGATTAACGTGGCTGGAATGTCAGATATAAGAAATTATTGTTACAGTCATACCATATGTTACAGATTATCATAACTGGTTCGTCAAACGCAACCATTCAATAGTAGTAGTAGCTTACTATAGGCTTTCTCTTAGCAATCGATTCTTATCAATGTTTATTCAGTTACAGTTTATTATCTTTATAATTCTGTATACAATTTCAAAATGGTTTTAGTGTTCATTTATTATACTTTTTTTTTAAGATTTAACTTTTCAAACATGATCTTTTCACTATAATTCTACTTGTATTTAATTTTTTCTCATTCTATGATTTTTGTGCATGGTTTCATTTACTTTTTTAACATTGCTTTCATTTTTTGGGGGGACTACATTTCTTTTTGGTTCAAACTTTTTCTACATGGTTTTTAATATAATCAAGATTTATATTTTTTATGTATGTTTTCATTTTTCTTTGCTTCTTTAATATTGTTTACATTTTTAACATACGGTTATTACCTACTTCATTCTATCATGGTACTCACTTCGTCTACGTGATATCAACTTTTTTAGCGTTGCAATTGCCTGATCAGCGTTCGTGACAGCAACTAACCCTGAAACTCTGCTACAGAACCTAACCCTGATACTCTGCAACAGTACCTAACCCTGATACTCTGCTACAGTACCTAACCCTGATACTCTCTCGGTGCAGGCTACGGGCAGGAGGGCGGCAGCATCAGGGTGGTGCTGAGCAACAGCGGCTCTGAGGACCTCTCTGTGGTGTACCTGGAGCTGCTGCCCTGGTACCTGCGCCTGTACCTGCACACGGCGCACGAGACCGGCCAGGGTGAGGACATGACTAAGCGTTTAGTTTAGTTTTAGTTGTCATGTTATTTAGCTGAGGTAAGCCTTAGTTGTCGTGATGTTTAGCCTTAGGTAAGCTGAGTTACTAAGTTGTTTAGCTGAGGTAAGCCTTAGTTGTTATGTTGTTTAGCTGAGGTAAGCCTTAGTTGTTATGTTGTTTAGCTGATTAAAGCATTAGTTGTTATGTTCAGGAGGATCTAGACTTTGGGTTTGAATGAGGAATCCAGGTTGTTATACTGTCGCGAATGCAAACGGAAATAAGGTTGTTCTACTGCGTGGCCTTAGACGGACAAGACTAAGCGTTTAGTTTAGCCTTTGGTAAGGTGAGTTGTTATGCTTTTTAGCTGATTAAGGCATTAGTTTTTATGCTCAGGAAAACCTAGATTCTGGGTTTGATTGGGGAACCCAGCTTGTTATACTATCGCGAACGCAAACGGAAATATGGTTGTTCTACCGGCGTGGCCATAGATTTCGGGTTGGCGCGAGTTGCCCCTGATGTGATGGTGCATATTATCCTAGGTTGTTTTACTAAAGAGGCATTTCCCAATCTACGAGAACATTGTTGGTTTTTTAGAAGATGATTTATGGCTGAGCACCCACTTATATGACCATGGATTTTGTAAACGTATTTTTTGATAAATGCGGTCGTTTTCGAGGAAGAAATTTGATGAATAGCTATGAATATGTTGTGAGTCTTCGGTGTCCCTTAGTTGTAGACTTCTATGCTTCGACCTGCTGAGTCTTAGGTTACATTCGGCACTGACTGAATTATAGTTCGTTAACGTTATTACGAATTTATGATGCAAGTGAATCAAATTTGTTGTTACTTGTGTTTCTTATGTTATCGCACGAGTTAAACATATCAGATAATAAAACATTACCTTACTAATTAAAGTGTTTACAGGTGAGCNAAAGAAACACTAGCACCAACATACAAACAGTTCATCAGAACAGTGCTGGCTTATGCCCTGTCTCTTATACACATCTAGATGTGTATAAGAGACAGGTTTACAGGTGAGCGGTATCTAAGTCAGTTTGTGGGAGCTCGAGACCGGGAGCAGGGATGGGTGTATGAGGCGGTGGTGCGGGTGCCCGCTAGAGGCAGCACGGAGCTCTCGCTGCCCTTCACGCGCGCGCTGCTCAAGTGGCTCGAGTATCCCCCGGACGCGAACCACGGCTTCTACTTGCCCGCCGCCACCGTGTCTGCTGTCCTGCCCACCGCTAGAAACATAACTGCTGCCACAGCTGCCGACACTGGATCCCTGCTTGACAAGTGAGACTTTTTGGTTTTAGTTCAGTTTGTCTACATTTGGAATAAACTGTTGCCAAACCAATATATTTTTCAGCCACAGCTGCCGACACTGGATCCCTGCTTGACAAGTGAGACTTTTTAGCGCATTTTCTCATTTATAGAAAAAATGCACTATTGTGCTCGCAATGTCCGTCCGTCTGTCTGTCCGTCTGTCCGTCCGTCTGTCCGTGACCTCAAGTTTTCGTCGACGAGAAAATGCGCTCTCTGTCACTCACTGCAGTCAAATTATCATCGCTTGTAAATAAATATCCATGCCATTTGGAACTCAATCCAATATCTTCTATAAAATTAGTTTTCTAAATCTCTGGTATTTTTTATTTTTATTATATTTGTATATTTATATTTTAACTTCAATGTTTCTTGAATTCTGACGCTACTAACTACGGATTGTACCTGCGTTCTGTAATTTCCGAACTAACGATGGAGTAAAACTCCGAAGCGTTTTCTATAAAGATATAGTCAGTTTTTGTTACTTTTAAATTTTGAAGTAATTTACGATACATGCAATAGAGTTACCGTACTTTAAAACTTGGGTGAGGATAGTATGACGTGATAAGATCCCTAGCGCCAAAATCTGCTGATCCTGTGGGATATCACTAGGATTAGTTAGAAGGTTAGCCACCAATAAAGATTTTACTTGAGTAACTAAATTCCCCAAGATATCAGCAGCATTTTCCGAAAAACAGCGATGATCTCCGTTTTCTTTTTTAGAAATCTTGACATTTATTCATTTAAATCTTGAAATCTTGCCACAAGAGGAGTTGCTCTGACCAAATACCGCAGTATCTGTGCTCTCTTATTATCAGTCTGCTTATATCGCAAGTTCACAAGGAATTTAAAAGCAAAGAAAACGCTAAGCAAATTCACCATGTCGATGTTGAAAACGTCTGTGCTCTTAAGATATAAGGAAAGGCTAGGCGAATAAATCGGCTACGATCTCGCATCTCGTGGTAGTGTTGCAGTTGCAGAAAATCTAGATTGTGATTAAGTAAAGATTGTTCATCTTTTCGATGTATGAAATTTTATTTTATTTTAAATATAATTGCAGTTGGGGAAACTCTAGATTGTGATTTAACTAAAGATTGTTGATCTTTTCGATGTATGAAATTCTTTTATATTTTAAATATAATTGCAGTTTGGGAAACTCTAGATTGTGATCTCAATAAACATTATTTATATTTTCGATGTATGAAATTTTACTTTTTTCAACATAACACCAAACGTTTGTGTAAGCTACGTAGTTACATCTACATTTGTTACAATAACACATTTCGAAACGTTCACTGCAACCTCACGTTATTCCAGACTGTTGGTGGGGGAAGTAGAGCAGCTGCTACATTTACATTTGTTACAATAACACATTGCTTTAGGTGGAAGTAGAGTAGCTGCTACATAAATTTTTTGTAGTGTAGCTGCTACATAAATAAATAACACATTTTGAAACGTTCACCACAACCTCACGTTATTGCAGACTGTCGGTGAGGGAAGGAGAGCAGCTCGTGCGACTGTACACGGAGACGTTGCTGGTGACGTTACCTACGCCGGACTTTTCGATGCCTTACAACGTCATCTGTCTCGCCTGTACCGTCGTCGCCCTCGCCTTCGGCCCCATTCACAACATCACCACCAAGCGGTGCTCAATATATATACTTTTATATATTAAATTCCTTTTTTTAAATAAGTATTAATTAATAATAAAAATAAAGTCTATTGAATAATTGATAATAATTATAATTTTATTATCGTGCGATTATCATAATTCTCATAGGAAACATCAGTTACAAAAAATTTGCAATCTTGTATGTTTATCTCATGCGATTTATTAATTAATGATATACTTTTATATTTATCATCATTTTACAAAATAATTAGGTATCCTTAAAATAAAAATACTCTAATATTTTGCTAATAATTATTTATCTTGTCAATTTCTAGAGACTTCGTAATAACGCTATTGCTACCTAAGACTGACGCCGTTATCTTTGAAATATTTTTGAACTTTTCTTTCCAGGATAAATGTTCTGTGTGGATTGATCGGTAATTTTTGTCATTCATTAAACGTGTTATAATTTCTTTAGAAAATCGTGTAAATTCTCGATTAATGTTGATGGTTCGTACGAGCTCTAAAATATATTCATCTTCAGACTGGTGCTGAAAAAAATTCAACCGAGCGAGAGTTTCGCATCGACGGTTTCGGGGAAAGTGAGAAGACTCTTCGGTTTTAAAGTCGATGTTGGAGCTGAAGCGGACGAAGGTGCGGCTAAAACAGATACCTGTGCAGCTGGGACAGATGCTGCACCTGTTGCTACTTGAGAGAAAAAATCGACATGTGACGGTAAGATTTGATTCCTGTATTAGGTACAGCTTTTCAAACCGATTATGATCGTCTGAGCGACGATCATGATCGCTCATTAATTAAGAAAAAAATGAAGGAAAATAAAAATTTTGTATATTCCCGCTCGTCAGCTCTGTATGCCTATTATATTGTTTAATCAAATACGCTAATATTTCCCGCAGATGATGTCGACTCCTGCAGCGACGGGGCCAGACTGCGCCAGGAATCCATCGTCTGTGTCGAGAGGCAAGGAGGCGATCCAGCACAGCCCCTACTTCATGATCTCAAAATCCTGGGCGTTGTGTGCTTATTTCGTCATTATAGAATAAATAGAGTAAGTTTGCTACTAAGCTCAAACGCCTGATTTCTCCCTCTTTATGCTTCATGCATGGGAAACTTGGTCTGTAAATGTATTTGAATGTAGGTAACGACTGTCGAATTAAGTTTGTTTCCCTTGCTTGCTGTGTGTCCGATCTTGCTACGTTCACGATTTCAGCTGAAACAAATGGTAATGAAGCGTAATTTGTGTTACTAAAGAGGTATTTACATGTAGAAGCTTACCGCTAAAAACTCTTCGTTTGTCTATATTTTTCCGCGCTCCCGACAGCGCGTTTCATTTTCAGACCTCACGGGCAGGCGAACATCAAACTCGCGAACGTGTGCCCATGAGCCTCAAAGTTGATGCTGAATAGAGGAGGAATAATAATGAAAGTCATTGTTAGTACTACAATTGAATAAAGACGCACGTATGTTAGCTCAATATTATCAACGAGCGTGCCTTGTTTGATGTGGTGTCCTAAAAATGGCAAAGTCACCGCCGGTTTTGTCAGGGATGATCTTGAGAATTTGTCTCGTTCACTGGTGATTATCCAATATTTTTTTGTGGTGGATTACACGTTTGCAACATTTCACGATACAGGATTGAATGTTATGTTATTCTGCTCGGTGTGTTGACGTACTTTGTTACATTCTGTGGGTGCGTGGCGAGATGTAATAAATTCATGTGATTATCTCATGTCTTTGACGCCCTTACATAAACAATCGAAAGTATTATGGGCGATTGAATTTCGCAGAAATACTGGAGCATGCGTCGGGGAGAACGCATTCACACGAGGTATGAATTGCTGTTTGATATTCATGCATCACCTGAATTTAGAGTCTTCTTCTGAAGAACGATACCGTTTCCTCCGCGATTCTTATTAAACGTATTATTTACGAACCTAGATTTAGCACGCCCTTCATTCACATTCGCTTTCTCACACGTCTTCATTTAGGTGCCCTAATCGAACTTGTGTTGATTACAATTCCCTCTATTGGCACCATTCAATTTAAATTCAACACAAGACTGAAGTTCAATGAAGAAAATATAAACTGCTTTGGTTTCATTTTATTGTGTTCAAATACATTCAGGCTCAAGTTGCGCACGGATATTCCATCAAGAAAAACAAATCCGCTACGCATTGACTTGATAAAAAAGCAAGCAAATAAACACTCCCGCCCACTGCGGCGACATTTGTATTGCATTCGTCCTAATGCATCGTCAACAAGCAAGGAAAATAATTCAATCGCCATCAAAAAATTCGAAGCGATCATTCAATGGACGAAGAATGACGTGAACATTTAGACCAAGCGCTGACGCAGAAGATAATTTCATGTTCACTGCCGCTTCATTAGAATAACGGGTTATATGAATAAGCCAATAATTCATACGATTAAGAATGCCACTCTACTCTACTATGACGAACTCGAGGAAAAAAGAACAACCTTACAGTATGATGAACAATGAAGGATAACTCGCGGTTAGTCAATATTGATTACTACAATCAAAACATTAAATCAAGGAAAAAACTAAAATTAATAAACGCAGAAAAAAACGCTTCTTAAAAATGCCGTGACAGGAAAAACTGTCGTTAGTGAGAAAAAAAATAATAATAAATGAACGAGAAGGGAATGACTCGAGACCAAGACTAAATGTCTGGTGCTCAATAAACGCGCCACTCGAAGAGGACCTAACCTCGCCTCCCAACTAATGAACACTGAACGAAGTCTTGCAACTCACCTGGCAACAGAAGCTCACTGAGCTCATAAAATATGTCAGCTGCTCAACAACGCAACAATTATAAGTTAACAAATCTTGCTGAACAAGTTACGGTACCGGCACCAAAGATGCTGCTCGCATGCATCAGCATCATTATCATAAGAATAAAACGCTCCCTGTGATCTATAAAAGAATTGAGAAAGCACGACTAAATGTCTGGTCAATCAGCAAAACGGTGACTAATGCCCTGGAAGATTAACATTAAAAGACGAACCAACAGGTGACAAAATTTGTGACGAGTAAAATTGGTTTTCGAGAAAGGGATATAAATTGCATCTGCACCTAACAGCAGAAACATGCGTTATTTTCGCGAGCTTTACACCGAGTGTCGAAGCATTTAAATGAAAGGACGTAAAGGAAGTTACTGGCCCACCACAACGAACCCTGCCTAGTCCCTCCGCAATCTAATTCTTCTATCTGAATAACAGGATTTGGCAGCCCAGGGAGTTCCACCACAATATTTAACTCGCCACGCAACCCAAGACGGCAGCGTGCAGCAGAGCGCCAAGCAATCTATCACACGAGAACGTAACAGCCGAAACATTAGCAATCAGAAAACTCCCACCAATAACATACCTGGTGTTAACAACCTACAACAATACAGAGGCTGATTTAAGTAGTACTCGGTTGTTAGTTTACATCAACCAAAATGAGCCGCACCATACAAATATATTGCAAAACTCGTCATACAAACAGCGATATCTTTAGTAGACACATGGCTGAAGTAGAGAACAAAGTTCAGCCGTTGTGATCAGAGAGCTGTTGCTGTATCGCATTCCGACACCATCGACCTACTCGTACTTCAAGTTATGAATTCTTAACTGAAATCGTAAAGCTTGAGAAATCTTAACCTCCTTTCAAGAAGCGTACATGAAAACTAACAATTGAGGGCACGCAGCATAGCTACACGTCTGGACATCGCACCATACTGCCCAGTACGTGCTGTAAAGCACCATACTGCCCAGTACGTGCTGTAAAGCACCATACTGCCCAGTACGTGCTGTAAAGCACCATACTGCCCAGTACGTGCTGTAAAGCACCATATCCTAGTACGTGCCGAATGTATCATCATAAAAACCGGCACCACCGTATGAAGCCGCACTTCCGCCGTAAGTCCCGGAACTATCGCCGTATTTGCCGGACGCCCCGCCGTACGAGGCGGACGTAGCACCGTATGAACCGCGGCTGTAGCCGTAGCTCGGGCCAGGACCATTCTTGTAGCTGCCGTGGCTGGCGTGGTGAAAGGGTACGTGGTTGCCATCATACGAAGGAACTCCGTTAAACTTGTTGAAACTTGACGGGTGGAATCTGTCGTTCAGAGGTCGGTCGGTGGGCATCTTACCCTGCACAAACATTTACACGTTAACAATGATACTTTATACACATGTTTTACATAGACGATGGACAGTTTACATTTTAGATGAAATAAAGATTTAGAGTATTTTTGGCTTCTTGAAACAGATACACCGTCGACGACATCACATTTTGGCGGAAACCACTACATTCAAGCGGCATTTTTCCTAAAATATCGGGCGCGTATAAATATATACGCAAACGTTAGACTGAGCAGTGCGGTTACAATCCTACAGCTCGTGGATACTTGACAAGAGACACACAATACTCGGCATCACAGCAATGAATTAGTTCGTCATTCAATAGAAGCACCGTTGAGAAATGCCATTTAATTTATTACATGATCAATAGAAGGTAATAGAATTGCTGCTAATTAGTAAGAGTAACTAGGTTTATGTCCAGAACGTCTATAACAGGTGGTCCTTAAATTAACGTCAAACAATAGAAAATGAAAATCAAAGAGCACTTCTTTGTCGGGTTCCTGCTGCTTTCAGTCCTGAACACAACCCTGGAAAAGCACCGCAAATTACGAAGGTCCTAACCATAATTTGTATTAATGCTAAAATGAAGTACAGTGGACGGTACAAGAAAAAAAAGAATGCAGCTTACCAAGAAATTCCAGATATTTCGACGGCGGGGTTCAATACATTCAGGCCTTTACATCACAAAGAACACAAATATTATCAATAAACCCAAGCAGTTAGAGGCAATATATATACATTTCTGGATAAAATAAAGGAGTAAAAGGACTAAGCTGCCACCAACAGCGCACACGCTCCACCTGTGAAGACTCTTTGAGCGTACGGCCAAGAACGCTAATTTGCTGTAATAAAGCGATTACATGCATCGATAGAAACGCAACAGAGACCGCAGAAGAAAAGCCATCACGGAAAAAAGTTCGGAACGGCAGTTTCCTGCCATTAAAAATTTTGTCAAGGCACACTTACTTTTTCAGCGCGGTATGGTTTATCTTGTCTTCCTTTTAAGCTACTTACGTGAAAGATAAACAACGAACGGAAATAATTATTTCACAAAGACAAACGTGAACCTGGGTCATTCCTTCTACTGAATTCGTTAAGCTATTGGCTAGCCACGTTAACCCTACAGTGGTCGCGTGCTAAAAATGTACAGATTTATCACTTTTCGGTCGGTTTCGTTTCGGTCGATTAATAATCGTACGCATGGATTATGATTATCTATGTAATCCACATGGATCTGATTGCATATATAATCCACGCGACCACTGTAGGGTTAGATTTGTTCATCCCTACTACCTATTCCGTTGTCAATAATCACGATAATGAACGACGATGAGATCGAGTGCTCACCTGACTACGTGGAGCGGCAGCACCACCAGCAGCGTTGTTTGTATGGAGCAGAAGAAGGGTGGGCAGGCAGGCAGGACTTTGACATTCGTAACAAACCAAAAAATTTGTACTTCACGAAACCCAGCGACCGAGGATAAATTACTGCCTCATACTTAAAGGAAGTCAAATAACGGAGGACACGAGCGTTGCTCGACCAAGTTAGGCGGCAGAACTGCAGGTCACCACCGCTGTTGGACTGCACGGAACCTAGCACGTATAGGATTCGGTTGAATGAACCAAGTTGAACAAAGAGTGGACTAAGTTGAACCATACACGTTTCCGAATTCCCTGACAAATTTTGAAACCAACTTAACGACAAGTGGACTAAATTGAACCAAGTACGTTCAGAATTAGCCGAATTTCGTCAATTAAAAATGCAGATTTGAATGAAAATTGCAGTGTGGACAAAACAGCGTCATGCACATTCTCCGTTTGAAGTCTATCGTTTCAGGAAATTTCAGAGATCAGAATAAAATTTGAACACGGATGAGTGCAGAAGCACAGAAATTTACTGACGAAAACCTGAATAAACGAAGGAGAGGTTAAAATAGCAGAGGTGAGGAGACAACGAGGAGCAGGACGAGGAGACAACGAGACAAAATTCAAACATGGAGATGTAAACGTCAAAGGAACCAAAAACGTGGGGAACTATATTTGTGCCAAAGCGACACAAGTTCTATTGAAAACGTCGGAATTTCAATCGAGAACACATCGAGGCGAGACTGAAATGACAAGACGATAAGACTGCACCACATTATGTGCTAGTAATGTGGCGTAGTGATGTGCACATGACGATGTTGCGTAGTGATGTGCACATGACGATGTTGCGTAGTGATGTAATGACTAAATAAGTGCTACATCATGGCAGCAAGTGCCCCGCCCGAGCCGTGATGAGAGAAGCAATGGACGACATTATCACCGCCCCTGCCGCCGCTGCTGCTGCTAAGCCTGCCATGTCCATCTCTTCGAGCTGCTGCTCCTCAATACCAATGTTGCTGGTAGTGCGGTTGCTGTTGTTGTTGCTGATGGTGATGATGCTGGAGGTGGTGATGGTGGTGATGCTGGAGGTGTTGCTGCTCAGCCAAGCACGCACCACAATAAGACATTCAGATGACGATGGAGACCTTATCTATCCTATCGAACTACACACACATAACTAACACGTGAATGACCCAGGGTTGCTGTAATAAGTATACGAATGTGTACCGTTCATTATTATAGCTTTAGTTGTCGGTCGCAGATAAAAGCGTCCTAGATCAAAACACAACGTCGCCAGAGCATTACGAACGCTGGAGGCATGCAGGCTTACTAGAACAATAAACATGCAATAGAACAACATGTAAGAGGCCGTAAAAAATATCTGCAAGATCGTAACTCCTTCGGACAACCAATGACAGGCTTTCCGCTTTCGTAACTCCACTCCGTCTGACAAACACTGACGAGCTAAACCCACCATCACTGAGGAGAAATCGGTAGTTTTGTGTGCTCGGCAGCTATCAGCACTAGAATTAGTTTTGGTCGCACGGCACCTGAGCCAGAACACTCGAGGCTTCAACATCTGTACCAGACGAGCTATAACGGAATATAACTTCTTAAACTCAAGACAGGATGATGTACAGACGGGAAGACTAACACATGACGAATAAAACTTGTAGCACACGAGAAAAAATGTCGGCAATGTTACAAATCTGGTAAGTGCTTAGGTACTTCCAATAAAATTGACATCGATAGCACACAATTATAAATGAACATTTCTAATAGACAATCACGACAGAGAAAGTAAGCTATCTGAACTTGTGATCCTCCAGGAACATAATTTGTGTCAAATAAAGAGAAATGAAACCTAATTTGAGCTACCAAGTAACATGAGGAAGAGGTACTGAAGACGATTCCCCCTCCAATCCAAAATATTTCTGGTTAATATCAAAATTTCGAGAAAAAACGAGCCAGAATTTACTCCGTTTATGAAAGGATATCTGAAATTTAAACTAAATTCAAGAAAGGATTGACAACATAACTTACGTAACATTTTCTAATGAAAATAACTCAGCACGGTACTTATTCTAAATGTGAAATAAACATGATTCAAGGCTATAGGCTTTCATGAGGTGTCTCTGTACAGTCACCCGTTGCAGCGAACTCAACATCACAGTGAGGTCTGGTTAGTGATGCAACACAAACATTTTTGAAACTCCCATGAACTATTTTTTTCAAACTGTGCCACGTCATTGAAGATTTCGTTCACTGTGAGTGCTTGAGGGTCATCGGCAAATGCCAGACTTCCAGCCTCTAACGAAACGACGCTTCAGCCTCTAACGAAACGACGCTTCAGCCTCTAACGAAACGACGCTTNGACGCTTCAGCCTCTAATGAAACGACGCTTCAGCCTCTAATGAAACGACGCTTCAGCCTCTAATGAAACGACGCTTCAGCCTCTAATGAAACGACGCTTCAGCCTCTAATGAAACGACGCTTCAGCCTCTAATGAAACGACGCTTCAGCCTCTAATGAAACGACGCTTCAGCCTCTAATGAAACGACGCTTCCGCCTCTAATGAAACGACGCTTCCGCCTCTAATGAAACGCCTCCTCAAAAAATTTTGCAACGTTCCTGCTTTCTTTTGGCTGTATGCGAAAGGCTAAACGCAAATAAGACAAAACAAATCATGACAAATACCGTTAAAATAAATAAATATCCACGAGGTCTAATTTTTCGTAATGAAAAGTTCGTAAAAATCACTAGGAGTAGCTGTGAGCAGGACTAAGTTGAGTTCACCCGAGCAGGGACCGGTGCAAGAGCTGTGACGAACGGCAGACAATTTCACGCGCAAATTATGTGGGTGGTTTAGCAAATTCTGCCTTTTTTAAGATGCAAAACAGCGATTAGCAACAGAAAAATATTTTAGTTTGGTTACGATAAATGTTATTCTGAGGAACAAAATCAATACCAGCATTCTCATGCGTACGATACCAAGAATTTTTGGCATATATTACTCAAAACCATGAATCAAATCAGTAGCACGGGAGCAATAACCATAAATTACGTCCGATACCCAACTCGTTCTTGCAGTAAGAAACGCGCGGATAACAAATACACTGCAGAACAAACCAAGTTGCTTTTTAGGCTAACCCGATAAGTTCGGCACGGCCCACCGATGAAATATTTCGTCGACTGGTATGAAATACGCCCTGAATACGACATAGCCGCACTTAATTAACGTGTTAAAGACTTGTCCGATAAACTCTGCTATATTGGTACCCACACAGTGAGAGCAGGTTGCCAGTGTGCTGGTTACTTGCTGAGGCTGGCACCTGAAATTGAAATAAATAGGCCTGGCGCTGGCCTATTCGTACAGGTTTTCACTGTGAACACTTACATTATTATCCTATGTTCATTCTTGTGGCAAGGTTGGAGCAGGTTGCCCGCGCGGGCAAACCTGCTTTCACTGTGTAGGTACCCTAATGTTCCTCGCGCAGTACCCTGATGACATCACGAGAAAAAGACATGCAGGCTCTTGTATTGCAAGTAAGGAAATGAGAGTTTATTCGAAGGGGAAATTTGTCAGCCTGAAGTTAGATATTAAACTAACAGAGACAAGGAAGAAGACGAGAACAAAGATAATGAGTAAGTGAAGAGTCTGATGGGTGCATTTGGGGATTTGTAAGTAAAGGAGACAAAGGAAAAAGGAGTAAAGGAGTGAAGGAGTGTAAGGAGACATGATGGATTCAGAGGTGTCAAGAGGAGACATGATGGGTTCAGAGGTGTCAAGGAGACACGATGGGTTCAGAGGTGTCAAGAGGAGACACGATGGGTTCAGAGGTGTCAAGAGGAGACATGATGGGTTCAGAGGTGTCAAGAGGAGACACGATGGGTTCAGAGGTGTCAAGAGGAGACACGATGGGTTCAGAGGTGTCAAGAGGAGACACGATGGTGTCAAGAGGAGACATGATGGGTTCAGAGGCGTCAAGAGGAGACCCACCGAATTATTAAAGCCTCCTCTGTTGAAGCCCATAACGCCGCCCCGGCTGTTGAAACTGCCGCGACCTCTGCCTGCACGCAAAAATTATAATAAATATTATTTATGTTTATACTTCAATAAAACAATAAAAATTATAAATGTTGATGCTCCTGAAAAATAAATCACAACAACCAAGATACATTTATAATGGGTTAATAAACAAGAGTGCATACTGTAATGTGCAACCAACAAACCACCAGCACCACCATGTTCATGTCAGGTACACCGTCTTCTCGGTATACTTAGACAGATTTCAAACACAGCACCTCGAGCAATCTAGATGTGGCAACTAAATGGGAAGTCAATTCTACCACTACTTACTTCACTTCATCGTAAGTAACTGAATGAACATGAATTGACCACCCAACTGCATTCTGAAGGCAGATGATAGGTAAAATGTGCCTGTGTGTCTTACCTAAGTATATGCTATGCTATTTTTTGTCTCCTACCGTTTTTTTTCAATTTCTCCTTCCTGTTGCTGGACAATCTGTGCCTATTCTTGTTATATTCAACATTTGACATGCGGCATAGCAACCAAAACCACAAAAAAACATCTCAAGGATGAGAAATAATCAACCACTGATGGAGTGAAGTACCTCTGAAGGATCCCCTGTTGTTCTGCAGACCAGCATGGTAGCCAGCGTAGTACGCAGCCTTCATCTTGCCGTGCTCCTCTGCCACCTTAACCACCAACGGGTCGTGGCCGCCCTCAGGGATAACACCGTTCATCTGCGTGATGGCCAGCTCTGCTTCAGACTTCTTGTCGTACCTGCACACATGACATCAGTTTAAAAATTGCAATAGTTAAGAATAAAAAGCTTTTGGGCCGATGGATTTCAGGTTTTTCAACATCTCGAAATGGAAAGTTTCAGCCTTTGCAACATTTTTTGAACAAAAATAAGATTGAAATATATCAGTTCATCTGCTCCAACGCAGCCTGAAATAACGCTACCTTTGAACATTTCAAAGCTTTAATTGTTTTGATGTACCGGTACCGGTATATTTGAACTGTCAGTCCAACAGAAGATTGGCTGGTTGGAAAATGAACATGAATCCCAGGTTTGCACATTCTGAGACGAAAATTGAAGCAAAAATATAAAAAAAGAACCCTACGACGCACCTGACAAAGCCAACGCCCCTCGGAAGACCTGTGACTTTGTCCTTCAGTAAATTTTTTTGAACAATTTGGCCAAAAGGAGCAAACAAATCGTCGAGCTGGTCTAACGTGTAGGATCTGCAAGGGGAGAGCAGCTGTTAATACATGAAATTTTATTCAAAAAAGCATAACCGCAACGAAATGTACACGATGCTATATGCACATCACAGCAACAGAAGATGTTGCCTCAGAAACTTCACAGCAACAGGAAAGAGATGTTGAAAAAAACATAACTTCAAAATTAAGCAATGCGCCTATTAAGTCAATAGCGCAGATTCAAACGCCTCCCCCTACCCCTCCCCAGCCTCTGCCCAGCCCAAGACCAATACGAGTTGTCAAAAAAGTTGATACCATTAAATTATTAGACCATGGACGTTGTTATTAGTAACCGTTACAAAATGGATTATGTATTCGGTAATCTTAATAAGAATCCTGATACACAAGATACTCACTCAGTGGTGTCGAGAGGCGTGCAAACAATGGGAATAACTTACTTAGATAAAAGAGGCTCAGTCCAATAAGAGGGAACTTTTCGCCCACCAGTAATTCTAACCCTGTTTGGCCCAGAAAAATGTTACATCAGTGCTACTTGCAGTGTGTCAACTTTTGCCCAGAAAAAATTCCCATCAGTGCTACTTGCAGTGTGTCAAATTTTGCCCAGGAAAAAATTCCCATCAGTGCTACTTGCAGTGTGTCAACTTTTGCCCAGAAAAAATTCCCATCAGTGCTACTTGCAGTGTATCACTTTTGCCCAGGAAAAAATTCCAATCAGTGCTACTTGCAGTGTATCACTTTTGCCCAGGAAAAAATTCCCATCAGTGCTACTTGCAGTGTCACTTTTGCCCAGGAAAAAATTCCCATCAGTGCTACTTGCAGTGTGTCACTTGTGCCCAGAAAAAAATTCCCATCAGTGCTACTTGCAGTGTCACTTTTGCCCAGGAAAAAATTCCCATCAGTGCTACTTGCAGTGCGTCACTTTTGCCCAGAAAAAAAAATCCCATCAGTGCTACTTGCAGTGTCGCTATTTGCACCTAGACCCATTAATTACCAGAAGATAATTTTTTTGTAGGTAATAGAGGTCCGTACACACCTGGGGATATTCTGAATGTAGAGATTAGTTTCCTTGATGTCCTCTCCAGGAGGTCTGGCGTAGGAGACTTTGATTCGCTTGTGCTGCACGGGGAGGTTGTTTAGCTGCAGGATAGCTTTGGCTGCGTCCTCCGGCTTGTGATATTCCACGAACCCAAACCCGAAGCTGTACCCGGTCTGAAAAGCAAGTTGTATTTAGATTTTATTCCATTACTTACAAATGCCGGGGAAAAAATGATAATTTATAGTCAAGAAAGAAACACAGAAAACAAAGTTATGAGCTAGAATTGCTCATGTAACATCAAGATTAATGATAGAATGTGTTCCTAAAAATGGTGCCTACATGCCTGATCTGAGAGATGGAATAACTTAGAACAATCATTATATCCCCCCCACACACACGGGAATGTCCATGGAGTGCAGCTAAGGGGTTGCAAATTGGTTGAAATTTGAAGGGTTAAAAGCCTACAAATAGTTCAGAAAATTCTGGTCAAAATCGGCATGGTGGCATGATTGTTAAAAATCAGCAACAGGCCAAAATGGCCAAATTAAGTGATAGAATGTTACTAGTCATTGGTCTCTTCCTTGCCAGTCTTCATAAATGTAAAAATTACCATAAATAAATTATATCAATGCAGTAGATCAAGATTTTGCCTTGGGACACAAGGCACCTTCACAACTCCATTATTCTTTGGACTTCAACTATTGGTAAATGACCAGCAAACGCTGCCAGGAATTGTTGTGCAGGGTATTTGATGAAGACCAAAAAGTTCAAGGAATCTTCTCCGACAAGTCAAGGGTTAAATGAGAGGGCGTGACCTGCCAGACTGGCAGGAGGGAGCGACAAGCCAGGCAGGCAGGAGGGAGCGACAAGCCAGGCAGGCAGGAGGGAGCGACAAGCCAGGCAGGCNAGGCAGATACACTAAAGCAATGGCAAGGAACCTAAGCCAGGTTCATGCCAAGAATCAACTAAAAGTTTCCTATTTCTATGGACAAAGAATTACCTATTTTGAATACTGTAGTTGTTGTGAAGTGGATCACAGATCTAGGCTGCTTGCTATTTTCTGCAAATAGTTCATGGATCTTTGAAGCAACTTTTATTTCTATTTATTTGAAATACTGAATGGCAAGCATCGCTATGAATGGGAAATTACAATTACATATACTGAAGTTCCATGGCATGAACCAACTCAAGAAGCTGCCAATCATATAAGTGGGAATTATGAAATAATAAAAAATACAGAATTATGTATGCCATACAAGAAATGCAATACTAGTAACATACATTGACAGAAATAAAAGTTGACAAGATTTTTTGAGTTACGGTATATTAAAAAATTTATTACACCTCGATGGACAAGTGTGGGCATTACTGTACTTATTAAGTTTAAACATCATGAAATCTAAAGCAAGCAAATCCGTTCAGTTCAACAAAAACATTCAGTTCATTTCAATTGGACAAAAGCAAAGCTCAAAGAGAAGCAGTGACCACATAATATCATGACATCTCAAACTGCAGAAAAAAAGGGTTTTGTCAAATTAACTCTTGTCACTACCAAGCACTTGAACCATCAGGATGAACAGGAATGCAACTTCTAAAATTAAAACGATTAATTAATTAATCTAATTAATTCAAATTAAAGAAAATTAAATTAAATGCAACTCCTACAGCTGCCGCTGCCAGTTCAGGTGGCGTTGTGAGCAGCACATATACATGGGGCGGCTACTTCCTTAAATCTATGCAGGATAATTCAATGGGTCAAGAGTCATACAAGTGTGTTAGGCACCTGAACGCATAACACAGCCCTCAAGTACAAGATTATTATTACTAGTATGTTTTGAATATTTCTTCATTGAGCCTATACTTCAGATTCGATATTAAATTTTGAAATTATCACCAAAATAGGCCTCAGATGGTGTGTATATAATCCAAATTCTAAAAATTGTACCACCTTGATCAAAGCCGACTATATTCAGTAACAACATAGGTATGCATAAACACAATCCAGCCCCTTTAACACTGATGATTACAAGTCACCATTGGCATGCTGACCACAGGCTTGCTTGTATTAGTATAGCTGCTGTCTATATGACAATACAGAAAGGAAAATTTCAATTCCTTGACAAATTATACTCAGTATATAAGTATGTACATATGTGTATGTACTATGTATACATGTATGCCATATACATGTATGTATATGGCCTCAAGTAGAGCTGTACAGGGATCAAGTGGAAGGCCCAACCCTAATGGAAGAATTGTGCCAGAAAAAAAAATTGCCATTTGCTCCACAATCTGTTTCAAGCCGATGGTTTAAATGCCTTGTCTTTTTACAATAAACAAAACCTCACCTTTAAATCCTTCATAATTCTGCAATTCTTAATAGGCCCAACAACAATAAATATTTTGTAGAACTCCTGGTCAGTGAGGGTCTGTGGTAGGTAGTTGATGATAAGGTTTGTCCGTGTCTCATTGCCAGTGATGGACGGGATGCTAGGCGAGCTCTCCATGCCCATGTTATTGTAGTCACACTCACTCATAATCTGTAATAAAACAAGATGCATTGTATTTGCACTTAATCTGAGAGAACAAAGAATTTTAGTCTCACAATCTCACATTAAGAAGATGCATTGTAGTTGCACTTAATCTGTGACAAAAATGGCCTTTAGTCTCAAAATCTTGCAACAAAAAGGTACATTGTAGTTGCACTCAATCTGTGAGGACAAGTGAGAATAATTGCTTTTAGTCTCACAACCTCACAATCTGTGGTACCATAATTTGTAACCCATGCCTGAAGTTAAAATGAAGAAGCACATCTCCACAATAGACATCATTGACCATGTTACTGTTTTACATTAAACTACTATGTAAACTTGTGTCTTTTTTAGCCACTTGTAACGTGCCCTCGAAGTTTGATCTGAACGAGACACCATGACAATCTCTTCGTGGAATAATAATAAACAAGTAGGATGTCATGCAAAGTAATGTTTCATTAAAATCTTGAGCTGTCACATACCATCAATGCTCTTACTACCACAATAAAGCAGAAAATTCCATTTTTACATCCCTTCTACAACACAGGTTCAACTAATAAATAATTTCAAAAAGAAATGTCAATACATCTTGACAAAGCAAGTTTTCCAACTTTTCTAGCACACCCAACATAGAAAGTGTATAAAGAAAATACATGGGTATTATGAAGAAATCAGAACAAACTTTCATCATTTACAGTCTGCCTTACTGTTTGGCATGATAAATGAATTGTCTCATTTACTTCCAAACCTGTTCCCATTAGACTAGTGGTAGAAGGCTAATTCAAAATTATGTCAACTGCCATCACTGAAATGATGAACTGTTGATTTCTGTTAAACAGCATATGCATTTACACATATGTGGATGTAGGAGACCCAGTTGCTACAAGAAGCATCAATAATGGCTTTTGTTGAACATTCCATCTCACTTAGATTTCATAATAAAGAAGCCATTTTATGTGCAATAAATTATAAAATAAGACTGACAAGCTTCCAACAATAATTAAATAAATTTGTAGATCAAACTCATATTTTTGAAGGTAATATATATTTATAATATAGTGCCATTAAAATGTTTTGCTGATGTTTATATATAAACCAACTCCACCAAAATCAAAACAGAATAACAAATAGAACTTCTTGAAGAGCCTTAAAATGATGTAGCTTGATACAATTATTCTTTGTAGCTTGATAATTATAATGTAGGTCCTCTTCTGAGAGAGATACTGATCAAATATTTCAAGAAAATAATCAAATGCTCATATTTTGTACATTTTTTAAATCATTTATGTAAATAATACAGGATTAGAATTTTTCTGCTTATCACTGAGATATTAATGCTCTAAATGAAAAATGGGATGACATGGACTTGGGAGCAATAGCTTGGACCATTTATAGCATTTACTTTTTTGTGACACAAACAGTCAGATAGTAAATATATAAATACATATTTATCACATATGTAAGAAATCTTCATGAGGTTGTGGTACTTCAAAAGCAATTAACACAATTTTTTAACCCTCTACTGCAGTATGTCACTCTCCAGGAACATAAGTTTGCACTTAAATTGTATACAAACTATTGACTGTATCAACCTGAGGGCATTTGTATGCAACAGAGAATGCTCTAAAGTTGTCATATGTAGCAGCAACCATCAGAGCAAGTCTTTTTGCCATCACTAGCAATGTATCCTTTCAGGGAAGTAGTCTGTGAGACAATATTACTCTGGTTACTCATGTCATGCAGACTTGCAGTTTTAGTCAAAGGTAAAAAGCTTTTTGCCAAGAACTTTTCAAGTTACAGGGTCAAAACAGTCCAAGTTACCCCATTTTACAGTACATTTGGAATCTCTCGAGTCTTGACCCAATTATGAACCTGTATCAACAATTAGATAGGCAATAATTCATCTAACAGGAATCAGTAATTCATATCCAGAAAATGGCTCTTGTGCTGTGACAGCTCAAATAGTAGAAGGCTTTCCTGTCATTGTTGTAGCCACAAGTTTTCTGGCAGGATTGGAATTTTCCTACTCATTTCTGAAATATTGCGGCTTCAATGAAACATTTTTAATAGAATTGGAATCTTGCGACCTGATCCTGCACTTTTCTTAACAATTAGATAGGAGCCTTAGGAGGTAATTCATCTGGTTGAAATCTCACGGTTCCAGAAATGGCAGGAAAGCTTGAGTTGCGGCCCTAAGGCTAAAGGCAGACATTTTCCATGCTTGCTTGCTTGGTTCCCACAATGCAATTTATCTCCTAGAGTCCTAACCAATTGATAGCAAGAGTCTTCAATCAGGCCACAAATGGCCCACAATGTTCCAAATTTGTCAAAAAATAGTGACTTTGAAGCCACAGTGTTTCACTAACATTAAAGTATTTCCCATCTTGCCTGTATAGTTCAGAACGCAAAGGTCAGAACTTTCAAGAATCAAGAAGTCTATTTACAAAATTGGACATTGGAACCTTTGCCCAATACCTACAAGGCTACAATGTTACTTAAAACTTAAAAGTTAAATTTATATATTCTATGCAGTATGCATCAATTGAACTACTAATACATTTTTAATACTTCCTATGTTCCTCTCCAGACCAGAGGACAGAGGCCCTCCCCCTCCCCGCCTGAGACCTGAATTAGATTTAGGCCTATACTAGTACCATAGCCAGGCTATACCAGTACATGTATTTTCATTTTGACATGTTGTTCCTTGTAACTTATAAGTACTACCCTACTGCCTAAGTACCTAGTTTCCAGTTTTTGGACTATTTGAGAAATGCAGCACACTCCTCACTGCTGCATTTCACACTAATTATTGCAGGTTTGCAGCTCTAATATATATGCCTCTATACCAGGTTTGAAATCGTCTTAAATACATTTGGCTTTTGGCAGGCCAGGGCCACTGGGCCAGTCAACAACCTAGGCTAGGTACCTATTTATCTTACCTAACAGGGCAACGGCAAACAATTTCATTCACTACTTAGGTATTCAGAACTACGAGATAGAAGTTGAAGAGCTAACATTTCCCTTTCATGAGATTATTATTAGATATTTATGTTCGAATAACTACGGTGATTTCTTGGTCATTGACATGAATGATGAATTGATGATCATGACATCTGTCAGTTTTGTTTAATTTGAAGTCGCTGCCCTTTACTAGGTAGGTCTGAATTATCTGGTCGGAGTCGGACTATCTTGCGATATAAATTGCATGAAAACATAATATTGAAAATGAGAACTTGAGAAGAGGTTAAAAATTTTCAACGTGACTAAAAATCAAAATACTTTGCCGGCCACTGCCAATGTTGCATCGCTGTAACTTAAATAGGTATGCGACAAATCAAGGGCAGAGTTGTCTTCGAGTTGACGGTACGTCGGTACGGTAAACGAAGTTAGTTGGCACACACCGCAGATACGTGTTACGGTGTTAGCCTATAAAACTTTGATCGTTGGCATAACTATTTAACTTTAATTAATAAAGAGTTCTTGTAGTTACACAAATTTTCCATATATTGTTGAATATGGGCAATAGTTAACAACTTACAAAGGAAATTTGTCAGGGTCATTCATAAAACACAGGCGCCGGGTTCACGCGTGCCTGTCCAGCCGATCGCGTAATGAGAACTCAAATCTTGAATCTTCATGCTGAAGAAACTTCTCGGAAGAAGAAGTTATGTTTAAACATAGGCCTAATGATTTGTTTCTTTTATTGGATAAGTCTAAACAAAAAATAATTATATAACTGTGGTATTGAAAGTATGTGTTTGACTAAATTTAAAAGACTTGCAAGTGTACTGAACTAAAACTAGTATAAGCGATCCAAGCAGGTTTATTTCGCTTCAACATGTTTTCGGCAGTTTTCAATCCTATTACTGTTATCTACGAATTTTGTTTGAATATGAATCCAGATATGAAAGCTGTTTTATTGCATTAATAACGTGAGTTTTCCTGTATTATTGACTACAATCTTATAATATTATTCTGAAGACTTAACCATGTTAGAAACTTGCATAACGGGTGAATCAGAAAATCACATAAATGGATAAGAAACGAATACCAATCTTACCACGTTCTAAATTCATTCATTTCATAAAATTATAGCAGCAAATAATCTGATTTACTTCATGTTGTGCAAAGACATTGTTAATATTCTTTTACGCCTCTTTTAGGATGATGAGGAACATGCTCAACTTGTAGCATGCAGAGATTAGGTTCTAAACAGAGTAAACTCATTTAAGGCACACATTCTTATTTAGGCGCACTGTGCGCGTCAACCGGATCGACACTTCAGCGAACTTGCGCGTCAACGGTGAACTTGACAAGAATAAATCACATAAGCACATTCAAAGTCGAGTCATTCACCACTACCGAATTGTCGGATCATAGATAAAATTCGGTCTCATGCTGAGTGCAACGTCTGAGACGTTGCACTCAGACTGTGTCCGAGTCACTGAGACAGAGTCCGAGACGTCTGAGTGCAGCATTAGCGTGTCTGCCCTCGATACCCTCACATCTTGCATGCTAATTCGAACAACCATAAGTGTGAAGTTTTTCTTCTTGCTACAAATAATATTTAGCCACATTTTTACTGAGCATCAAAGTAAAATCTTATCATATGAAGAATGTGCCTTAAACTTCTTTTTGATTCATTAAATCTCATAGCATATCAGTGGAAGGATAATATGATGGTAGTTGTACGTTGGAGCATCGTAATTCCCACGCAACTACTTCCGCTGCGAGTCTAAAGCGTTCAGCATTGCAGAGGTTATTTTATAACTGGACATATTTTATAACTGGAATTCCTTAAATACTCAACGGATCTGTATGAATTTTGGAATGTGAGTATTAATTATCGATACGCTACCGCAGGAATTATTACAGATTTTTACATGAATTATTTTTAATTAAAACCAATAAACATATTTTTTAAGCAACTGGGCCACTCAAAATTCCTTCAATACTTAACGGATCTGCATGAATTTTGGAATGTGAGTATTAATTATCGATACGCTGCCGCAGGAATTATTACAGATTTTTACATGACTTATTATTAGGTTAGGTTAGGTTAGGTTACGTTAGGTTAGGTTAGGTTAGGCTAAGAAATAATTCATGCAAAAATCTGTAATAATTCCTGCGGCAGCGTATCGATAATTAATACTCATATTCCAAAATTCATACAGATCCGTTACGAACACGCATCCCCAGATGTTGTGGAGCTACTGGCTCTCTACGTCTGACGGTCTGACGTAACAAATGGTGCTGTGGTTAAGTTAGTCAAGTAGAACGCTGTCTTCTAAGAAGAACGCTGTTAAGTGATGAAAACGCTCATGGTCAAGTAGATCACTGTCAGTAGAGACGAACGCTCTGCTCTCCATTAACGTCCAATCTGTGAATTAATTAAGTAAATGCTGATGCTAATTAAAACGCTGATTAATTAAGTAAAACGCTTAGGTAAACGCCGATGTAAACCCGCCAGTGCAGAGACGACTCAACAGTCAAGCACAAAGAGAACAGTGTCCACCAAGAAGAAAAATCATTTTCGAGAAGAAGCATAACTGTCACGAGAAATGCTGTCCGTCAATAAAAATGCTGTCCATTAAGAAAAAGTGTCCGTCAGTAAGTAAAATTCCTTCCAGAAGAAGTGTCTGTCAAGGTCAAGGATGTCCGTCAATAATTAAAGATGTTTGTCAAGGAAAAGAGTGCTCGATTGTATGCGTTATATTAAAAAGATTACAGGTATGTGCGCGACGAATTTTGAATAATAGAGCGATAAGTGTTCGACACTTGTAACGGAAATATGATAGTTCCAAATCAGGCACGAAGACACGCAGTTGTAGTAATCAGATATTATTCGGTTATACTGTATATCACACCGTCACACCGAATACATCGGGACTTTCTATTATCCAAATTTATCCAGTATTCTGATTATTGCGAAGAAGAAGTAAACTTCGTTTCATCATTGCACGACAACAAATTTTACATGCAGGACAGGGACACTAAATCCTCCGAAGCGCTAACTTGACTTTCATCTGTGCGTAAGAAAGTTTCTGTATTCGTTGGAAACAATGTCGGAGCGACAGCGGGACAGATCGTCGGTGCGGAAGCCAGCGAGTCGTGAGCAAGTGTTTCTAAAGCCAATGAGACCTCCCCCGTATCGTAGTATGAATGGCGGTTATCGCTCCGATCATTCTGTACGCAGTGGTCCTGCTCTCGACGGAGGCCGGCGCCGACGACACGATTCGTACTCTGATCAGTACTCCGCGGTCAGTTCAGATTGTGAGAGCAGCTGTATTTGCAGTGATTATGGAGATACCGATTACAGCGTTCATGATGGCGATGCGTATGAAATTCCAGTTCACTGGGGTTCTAGACCTAACTTTCCTAAGCAGGTGCTGCCCAATCCTATTTCTTGTAGACTGCGATACGAGCAAGAACATTACCACTACAACCGGAAGCAGCGGTTCACAACAAGAAATGTTGCATGTCAAGCGAGTCTTCCTCCATATGCTCCTGATGAATACCGTCTTTGGTCTTATTCGCCGAAAGAGCCTGGGTACGTTGACGGACGTAGAAGGGTTGATAAAATAATCTATCCACAAGTTGGACGCCGGAGTGTCCTTGAACAGGACGATCTATTCGGGCGCTTGAAGGTCGGTGAATCAAATGAGAAAAATTTAGATTCAACGCATTGTGGAAATCTCAGGAATCGTAATTTTCGGCATTTGATAACTCTGTCGGGGCATGATTACGACACTGGCAGCCTGAAGTCCACGGCACCTAATTTGAATGTGCCCAATGGAAATTCCGGGGCGATGAAAGCCAATATAGAGTCTTCCAGTGATTCAAAGAAGCGGTGGACGAAGTTCGACTTGGTGAAGTGTCGCTACTGTATGACTGCTGATCTCCCGTCTGGTCATGGCCTCTACGTGAGTACCACTTTCGATCATTGATAAATATTATTCCAAATGTATCTTGAAATGACTAGTAGGAGGCTAGGAGCAGCACATTGAATGCTAAGCTAGCCTAATTGTCAGCATGTTGGAATTTTTTTCCAGAATATGGACGGGGATGTGGTGTGTCCAGTTCTGAGCAAGTATCAGTGCCCGTTCTGCAACGCGACCGGTACTAAGGCTCACACCTTGAAGTACTGCCCGCAAAACCCCATCCTCAGGGGAGACATCAATAACATTAAAAAGCTGCCTAAAGGCGCAGCCCCGGACTACCATAGACTGGAAGCTTTCCGGTAAGTTCTTTCCTTCGTTTTTCGCCAAAATTAGAATTTATTTTAAATCCTTGTGGTTTCCTTCAGAGCTATGGTATGGAATTCTTACTTGGGCAAATACTCGTTGTCAGGAAGGGTTTTGAACATAGGATCGATGCAAATAAACAGCTTGGGAGCGGTCCAATGACAGACCATGCGCTGCATAAATTGCACAGGTGCGAGCTAACTAACGTGGTGTGCTCGCCAAGGCGCTTGTGTGTAGTGAAAGGAAGTAATCGTGTGTTGCTAATGAGTAATTTGGTCTAAAAATTGCTAGTTCGTAATTTCGTTGAGGGATTTGGATGTCTGAACTAGTGATAATAATGCAAGGTGGCTATAATGCTAAGAATTGAATGCATAGTTTCGATTAGCGAAGAACTTTTTTATAAGTCATCCATGTTGTGGAATAATCGTTACCACGTTACGAATGATAAACGCATGCCTTAAATAGTGAAATGAAGTAATTAATGACGATTAGTGTCGACTACATGCATATGTATGACGTCTTATTATATTTGCACAAGCTTCCGCGAAGACCAGAATTATTGCGCTAGTAATTGGGGAGGAATGGCTTCCAGCAATAACTATTATGGGGTTAAGTGGAAGCTAAAACAAGGAAAGGCCTATAATTCAGAGTTGGAATGAACGTTATGCTCGTGCTCATATTGATAGCTATACTAGTTAATAAGTGTAGAGTTCACAGATATTTTTTTTTCTTTGAAACCCATTAATTTAAGCTATGACTGGTACATTTAACTGTACACAATCTCGACAGATTGCGGCATCCGAAGACTCATTGTAAATTCTGCGAGGAGAAAGGCTTCCAGTGCGATCATCCCTTCAGGGTAAAATTTGGACAGATTAGTTGACTACTGCTATTATATCTAATGTTTCGCACTGAGAGAAAATTCGCTGTTGACGGTGAGGCCATAACAAGATAGTTAGTCAGTGCATCAAAGCTCTCTTGTATGGAATTGGTTTCATTTTCGATTTACTCAGGACGATTACAATCTGCAATAGCCTTCGAATTAAAAAAAACATCTTTTGGAATGGGGTTCTACTTGTAACGGAATTTTTGAGACAAGATTTTTTTCAAGCCTTAGAAGAGTTCCGGCAGTTGTAGTTAATGTTACTTGTTTCCCATCCTAGAGGAAAAATAGCGCGTTACCTTAATTCGAGGAGTTTAATCCTGATTGATACCCGCACGTGCATAGTTGACTCAAACTAAACGTCCATTTCACTCTTTTAAAACGCTCTACCATAATAAAGTTTTGTTAATTGAACCTAAAACATTTGGACTAATGACACTGAATCGTCAACAGGACCCAGATGGCGGGATAGCTTGCCCTGTGTTGTCCAGACAGGCCTGCCCGATCTGCGGGGCTACGGGCAGGCTAGCGCACACGTACCCTTACTGCCCGGTCTACAAGGACCGCATGCGGGGTACCCTAGACCCCCTTCTGGCAGACCTTATGAAGGAGAAGTTCACGCACACTCTAGGGGGAGACATAGAGCCTCTAGGAAACTCGGAACTGCCTCAAAATAAGCGACCAATACAGGCTTGTCCCGCTGAAGAAAAGTGCGAAAAGGTACCGAATTCGTCGGACGATTTGTTCTCTTCAGAAAATGGCAAAGTTTCGTCATCAGAAAATCCAGAGAAGCAAAGTGATGTCGACAAATGCGTTTTTAATAATAAAAACAAAGGAGACCAGATTTTCCCCTTGGAAAAAGAACAAGAATGCTTCCGTATTGACGAGAATAAAGTCCCGAGGTGTGAGCCATCGGAACCTGCCGGCCGAATCTCGCCAGATCTTAACAAAATTTTATTTGAATTGTGCGATAATTTATTTGAAGAAATTGCTCCTAATTCCACGTTGTGTGAATTGCTTGCAAGATTCGGCTCAAAATCTTCGGATACATATAACCTGAAGGAAGAAATTCAAAATGCCGAGTGTGGTCACTTTCCTGGAAGTTTGGACCAAATGCACGAGCTGTACTCTATTGTTCTGACAAACCCGGACGCAGTAAACGGCCTTGCTGAGAAACTCCGTCTCTGTGACGCTGATGATAATAATAACTGTGTCCAAAAACAGTGTATCGCTTAAGATTGAATTATATAACTACCGATCTTGTGCTACAGGAAATATTTTTGTCCGTAGACAAACACATGTGTAATAAAAATTTTATCGTGTCACGGCTGTCAATTTCCATACACAAATAACTGCATTACTGCTGCTGTAAGGGGAGCTGTTACGTAGCATTGTAATATAGTGATATCGATTTGAAATCTTCGGTACTATTTATACTGTCAGCAACCGTAAATTTTATCGCGGGATAGTGTTAAGAGAAATGGTGTCTGAATAGCAGGTCCTGGTTAAGGAATAAGATTACTGATCCAGATTTTAGAGATTCATTCAGACACAAGAAGCCCGCGATGGAAGAACGTGCAATTACAGCGTAATTATCTATAACCGATATCTTGTTTTCACTTTGATTCTGATGCGAATCGAAAGTGACCATTACCTCGAACACGTAGAAGTTAATAGACAGGATTTTTCTACATGCATTATTAATTTGGAAGGGTGAAGTTTCAACTCCTATTTGTTGTTCATTCTGTATCGGACTTCTGTCGATCACATTTATACATAATGGAATGTTTTTGCGGAAACTGGAATGGAGAGATGTATAATTATGCAAGTGCGCAGGTGTGGAGAGTTGTTTGTATCAGCGTAATTTTATTTATTTTTTCTTAAACGCGAAGATTAGTTTGCGACTGCGATGGATATTGGCATGAATACGGCCGAGCAATACAGAACATACTTCGAATCCGACTGTCATTACCATTGAATTCTAAAGTTCCAGGTTTGACATGACAAAAGATCCGCCAATCGCCGGGAGAAGCATTAGTACAGCTTATAGAACTCTCCAAACGTTACAAGATCATAATTAATTAAATTAATATTTAAACATCAGAAATATCCTCGAAGATGATTGTGTCCACGCAAGTTTCACTCTTCGCAAATAGACTTTAGAGAACTGTTCCTTGGCAAATAGTTCACTTAATAAATCAGCTTATGATTCTTGTATAGCTTAAAATTTTTGACAGGATCTGGCATTGGAAACCAATTGAAAAGAACGTGTCAACGTGAGCGTTAACAACCGTATGGTCATTTACCGGCGCTTACCGCTTAGCCTGCGCTGAGGTATAAGTTATATTTATTAATCGTGTAATTCCTCATTCCTTGATTAAGCAGCAATAGTCATCAAAAGTTGCACTCTTTCTAACAATGCCGACTTATCAAGACTGCCAATTAGTCCTCCGATAAGGCTTTTTCGAGTCATACAGTAACACGGCCCACGAAAGACTCAAAGGGGAACTTTGAAATTAGTCATGATCACTCGGCATGGTGAAAATAATACATAGGATATGTATGAGCCTAAGCGCTGCATTATTTTAAAAAATTATGGACACTTACACGTTATAAAGACCTAAAACAGGCCATGGGCCTATTTCTTCAACGCCGACACTTATATTCTATTCTATAACCCTTACCTTACCTGACCGCAGGCTCAGCGCCGGCAAATGCCCGCAACCGTTCACACTAATGCGTTTTTGTCCAACTGGTCGTTGGACTAAGGTTTATTTCGAAGCATAAAGCTCTTTGAATTTGTGGCGCTTTTGTTATCGAAACTTTTTTCAAAAGGTGTACAAATTTCAAGCACAGCAAGTGAATTTTGCGTGTAAAAGAGACCACGAAATAATCAATAAAGAAGACTCAGGAAGAATCAATGGGCATATTGACTACCGTGCCTTAATTTCATATACTCTTGTTTATTTGAAACGCTCATTGCAAGAGCTTGCTGATTTGAAACGCTCATTGCAAGAGCTTGCTGATTTGAAACGCTCATTGCAAGAGCTTGCTGATTTGAAACGCTCATTGCAAGAGCTTGCTGATATAAAACGCTTATTGCAAGCACTTGCTAATTTGAAACGCTTATTGCATACACTTGCTTATTTGAAACGATATTCAACTGCAGATGATAGAGTTTCTCAATAGTGCTTCCAGCTAGGCGTTGTGAGGAAGCCGTAGAAAGTTTTCTCGGCAGTTGCAAACCCATTCAAACTATTACCAATCACAGTAACCGACGACTTATGTTGAACATCTACGGCACGTCTTTGCCGGTGCCACTTGTGCTCTAGGAGGTTGGTAGCCACAAGAGTTACCTCTGATTTAGGTAATTTTACCTTTTACGTGTTGATGATGGTGGTAGTTACCCGTTTGGTGGTAATGGCACTTTTGAATTGTATGATTTAATGTTACTCAGGTATCGATGTAATTTCTTGGAATACAAATTGTATTGGACTCTCGCTCATGGAATGTACCATACTGTGAGCTCTAGGTGAACTAATCGCATTTAAAAGCCCATGGAATGGTCATTTGGCTCATGCCGAATTGTATTTTTCAAGAGTTTAAGACGAAACCATTGAATTCTTTGTTCTGCGACGTTTATGATTTACGGAGGGTCGAATTGGCGCACATGTGATGGGTGACCAACTTCAAGACAATAATCTTGAAAATGGAGGGTTAATCTTTTCATTGTGACATTTTCTTACCCAGACTACGAGTAGAGTGCAGATGTAGGCCTATCGGGGTCATAATGACACGCATGAAGTGAAAGTACGGAGCTATTTGGATAGTCTCTTCTTAGTTTTGAATACTAATTCACAAGTTGGTTTTTATTAACGTTTGACTGTTAACCGTTTGCCTTGTAACTCGATCCCTGCAACTGTTACAGTAATCGGGTGGTCTGACCCAAGAAACGAATTTCAGTTAGGCGGCGTGTCGGTATATACTTTTGAAGTGACTGGCACGATGTCCAAATAACGACTTTTTTCCAACTTGTGGGTGATCTTGACTCCCTTAAGACAAGCAAAAAAGGCGTTTCAGGGCGACGTGTCCCAGAGTGTCCCAAAGTTGGGAAAATGGAGGTAATTTCCCCACGTGTTGCATGCCATTTCTCATGACTTTTTGCTCCAAGCGTGGCCCATTGCAGCATTCGCTCAAGGTCCTGGGCCTATACTTTCAAAAGAAAAGTTGAGAGATCGTAAGTTCACCAGCCAATCATTGACGGCCTTTTAAGCCAAATCCACCAATCATAGACAAGAAAATAAAGCGTAAGTACTTACGTTCACTTAGCGAGTTTTGAAAGTATGGCCCCTGCTGGCCGTCAAAGTTCAGGTATATTTACGGGATGGGAATGGATGCTTGGGGAATCAAGTGCTCTGGTACGTCACTGCAATTTTCCTTTGCAGATAATTTCACGCAAGTTAGTCAGAAGTTCGCACAGGAAAATTATGGCGAGACACGATAGTGTCCACGAATGTTCTTGTTGCCTCTGTAAACTGCTGCTGAGGCGTACAGGCATTTATGTTAGCAATGACTGCCACCAAATGAGCATTTTATGGACTGATACAGAAACTGGTTTTCAAGCCTATATCAGCAATGAGAATGCAAGACGTGTGAGCAGGACATCAGACAGGTCTCCGAGCAGAGCTACTGGTAGCAGGACATCAGACAGGTCTCCGAGTAGAGGTGCTGGTAGCAGGACGGCAGACAGGTCACCGAGCAGAGCTGCTGGTGGCAGGACGGCAGACAGGTCTCCGAGCAGAGCTGCTGGTGGCAGGACGGCAGACAGGTCTCGGCAGACAGGTCTCCTAGCAGAGGTGCTTGTGGCAGGATGGCAGACGGGTCTCCTAGCAGAGGTGCTTGTGGGAGGACGGCAGGCAGGTCCCCGAGCAGATCTACTGGCAATAGAACTATCAACAGACCTTCCAAGTTATCCGATGACCAGCAAACTGACCAGGCTGATCGACCTCGCTCCAAAGAGGTCAACGGAAGGCACCGTAGACCTTGTAGTAGATGCAACGGAAGGACCAGCAAGGCCAAGGCAAGGAATTCTGACCACCAATACTTGGATGATGGAGGCAGACATGTGAACCATCGAAAGGGAAGCAAGCGAAATCGAAGATCGCGCGAGCATCGCCACGAAAGTATTAACGGATACGACATTCGCACCTCTGGTATGAGAGCAAGATCAAGTAGATCTCTGTCCTATGACCATAATTTCAGTCGGGATAGTCGTGAAGAATACCTTGAACAACGTCCACGGTCGAGTCGACGAAAAAGTCGTGACGAATACCCTGAACGACGTCCAAGGGAGCGTCGACGGAAAAGTCGTGAAGAAAACCTAGAACGACGTCCAAGGGAGAGTGGACGAAAAAGTCGTGTCCGTACCGCGTCCACAACAAACCAATACCGAACCCGTCGCACTGCAGAACAATCTCTATCATCGCAACAACCTCTATCATCGCAACAACCTCTACCATCGCAACAACCTCTACCACCTACCACTCGTCACGGGCGCAACATGCCTGAGGTGGTCCCCCCAACCAGCACCCAGAACCCCAGCAGATGCAGCGGCGTGTGCAGGTACTGCGTCAGCACGTCCTACGACCCGCACCATCCATTCTCGGTGGGTATTATCGTAAATGCTCTTATATTAAAGAATATTATCCATTAATTGACCAGAATGTTTTTACAGATTTTTCAGGTTTTATTGCCTGCTTACATATAGACAAATTTAGAGAGCGGTCGCGAGCGCGTTGAAGTCTAACACGACTCTAGTACAGTGTTTAACAATGAGTATTAAGCTACGCGTCAATAGGTTTTCTTATTTTGAAATTCTATTAGTTCTGCACGACAAAATATTATATGCTAGTTACTTTTTAAACAAAGTCGTGTGTTAAAAAATCCGAGCTTTAGAAACGCTTAATCTGCTTCACCATTTTACATTGAACACGTATTGGTGTACACGTGCCTCTCTTCATTACCGTCATCCAGAAAGTTACCTAGAGTTTAGTTATGTTAACCTATGGTTTGTCCTGTGCAGGCAAATGACAGGATAGTGTGCCCAACTTTGCGGCGGTATATCTGTTTGCTGTGCCGGGAGAAGGGCAAACATTCCTTCAAATATTGCCCCTACAACGTGGTCACCCATGGCAACCCGCGGGCCGTCCACATGCCCCCGGGGCCTGCGAGCCGAGAACACGTCGAGGATGTGCTCAGGTGAGTCGGGGACACACGCCGCAAGTGGCTGACCTTGTTTTCAATTTTCCTTAATATTTATTCGGGACGTAGCAGTCTCAGGCCACGATGGATCGCCGCTACTGATGTAGAGTGTGAATATTGTTGGAACTTTCTTTTAATAATAATAGCCATCGCCGCCACTGATGTCTCGAAATATTTGTTGATCTGTGTGTGAATATTTTTGGAACTTTATTTTGATAAAAAATAGCCATTTTCATGCCAGGACAATGAGCCGCGAAATGCCGGACGTATGCCGGTATTGCTTGAAGCGCGAGTTGGACTACTGGCACAAGACAACGGTGAGGCTTGTCCCCTAACGTTCTATAGTATAGACTGTATAGTATAGTAGTATAGTATCTTCGGCATTAAATAAATAGGCCTGGATAGGCCTGTCGCCGATTCTTGTACTTTTCTTGACTAGACTGGCCTTACGGACGGTAGAACAAGTTCTCATGACAACGTTATAAATTGCGAAATCCACCAAAAATTAGTGACTTTGGTGTGATGTTATTAAAACCCTTTATATGCTCGGGTCTTCGTTGATTTATTTCAATTGCTGCAGAATAAAATTTTCTGATTTTCTGCAATGTCTACTCGCATTGACCTTTCTGAATCAGTTTCAATCTGGAAAAGCCAAGAACATATTAATGAAATATTCGATTTGTATTTTCTACAGGAAAATGGTAAAACCTTGTGTCCGGAGCTCCGAAAGCTGACATGCCCATATTGTAAGGCAACAGCAGACTTCGCTCACACCATCGCCTACTGTCCGCAGCGTAATGGTCGGCAAACTATAGTGGTAATTCCTGAAGACGTCATTTCTGCAACTGCACTAGGTACAGAAACTGACTCTAATGATGCCAACTCTGAACTATGCCAACTCACAACAACTCGCATCCACAAACTTGAATGATGCCAACTCACATCAACGCGGATCCACAAACTTGAATAATGCCAACTCACATCAACGCGGATCCACAAACTTGAATGATGCCAACTCACAACAACTCGCATCCACAAACTTGAATGATGCCAACTCACAACAATGCGGATTCACAAACTTGAATGATGCCAACTCACAACAACTCGTATCCACAAACATATTGCAGGGAACGCCCATGCCCCAGCAGTTGAGTGCATACCATGACCAAGCTGTTCAGTCCTACTCTTTTCTAACCATGCAGCAACATTTTCAGGCTCAACCTTCGGCATTGCACCATTATTTCACCATTAGCCCCCTCTGTCTAGTGCAGATGCAGGCTTATCCGGAAAACAATCCCTCGTTCGGAACTGCAGTGGTTCCCAGTTCTCACCAGGAAACGCATCAAGGGCTTGTACTAGTGAACGGAAATGAACGTTTTAATAATGCTTACCAAAATCATGAATCGAATTATTTTAACGATCGTTTAACTGAGGTTTACACTGGACAAAGTTACTTTTATAATGCTCAAGGTTCAGTGTACCCACAAAACGTTGTAGAATCTAATTATGCACATAAACTACCAATTGTTGGAAAACGAGTCGAATGTACGGCTTCAGATTTCGATAAATTGCAAGGTGAGGGGACAGCTCATCAGGCAGCCAAAGTTCTTGGTGGGGAGGTGGAAGCAGACGAGTTAAATCGAACAGCAGCGAGACCAGTTCAGGTAGCTGAAAACAAGTATGGTGAAGCAATGGCATGGGCTCAACGGGGATCTGGAGCAGAGAATGGTGTTGGGGTGACCGCGTCATGGGCTCTAGAGGCTGGTGAAGAGTTTGATGAAAAAGTGTCGACGAGATCTTTTCATACCGCGGGAGAAGAGCCATTTCAAGCGACGGCTAAGACGCCGGCTGTTCAAGCCCTGGAAGTAAAGCCAGATAATGTGGCAAATGTGACGCCGGTTCAGCAGACCTCTGAGAGAGATGCTAAGGTTTCAGGTCCTTTGATAGACTTCCCGTATTTAGAAAAGGAAGCCCTCCCAACGTCTGCACCATACAGCGAGGTTGTTATGGGAGAGCCCACCAACGAAGCAAGCTTTTTCAATGCCGACGAAACTCCCATGTCAGGTTCTGGATTAGAATTCAACGAAGCAGGCGCAAGTTCTACTTTCTTGGACCTCTCCTTTGGTAGCAACATTGACGAAATGACTTTCGACGACTGTACATCGTGAGCAGCGTTACTTTGGGCTTTCGGCAACTCTAAATCGTAGACACCTTCACTGAAGGTAATTTTTAATGTAATCACAACGACAATATTCGACATTACACGTTTTTTCCACCCCAAGTATCAGAGTTTTAGATGATTATTTGACGCTTTGGGCAAAATAAAGTACAATAGTGCGTGCTGTATGGCTCAAGTTGGCCCGGCCTCTCGAATTTTCCGGCCTTTGTATTTAATTAAATTTAGACATTTGGGAGCTTCGTCGTGTGGCAAAACTAAGGATTCCAGTGGCTCTGAATCGTACATGTCTGGATGCCGGCCTACTAAAAGTAACTTAAATGATAGATTATTTTATAAACATTTTATAAATACGAATGATAGTCTATACTGATTTTATTGTTTGACCGTCTGAACATGTATTAAATAAACGAATATTGTGGCTCTTCTTAAACCATTCGGATTTTCATATGTAGGGTAATGTAGGGTAATACGGAGACGCAAAATTTTGAATATAAATTCAACCTGGAGCATTGAAGCTATGAAAGCACTTTGAAAAAAATATGATTATTAAATAACGTAAATACGACTGTGCATAACTCGAGATTGTGAAGAGTAAGTCTCGACTGTACGCGAATAATGAGGAAAGGTTTCTTGAGGTGTGATGACCTGCCAGGGACGACTTAAATACTTCTTCAGGAAGGTTGGAGGTGGAAGAGGACGCATTGGCCGTGGAGTTTAACAGGATTCCCTTTATATTTAGATTTTAGGTCCTTCTTAACGTTTAATTTCGATAAACTTCAGTTAAAGAAACTACGTGATGGTCACGTTCATGCAGGGCCCCCTTTTAAAAACCTCCAAAGCTCATTTAATGGCGGACACTTCGTTCCCTTGGGGCATTGTACCGTAAGTATTTTTTGTCTCTAAAACTTGCACGAGTGCTGCTCGCAATCAGAAAGGAAACAGACGCTCGTGGGCAGCACGAACATTTGCCGCGCCATGCGAGGTGCAGGCAGCCGCAGCAGACGACTCTGGGGCCACGTACGAACGCCGGCGACGCGGTGAGGCGCAAACGGCAGACGATCGCGACCACAGGCGCCGGCGAGGCGCAAACGGCAGACGATCGCGACCACAGGCGCCGACGAGGCGCAAACAGCAGACGACTGCGACCACAGGCGCCGGCGAGGCGCAAACAGCAGACGACCGCGACCACAGGCGCCGACGGGGCGCAAACAGCAGACGACCGCGACCACAGGCGCCGGCGAGGCGTAAACAGCAGACGACCGCGACCACAGGCGCCGGCGAGGGGCAAACAGCAGACGACCGCGACCACAGGCGCCGGCGAGGCGCAAACAGCAGACGACTGCGGTCACGAGCGCCGACGGGAAAGACTCTGTAGTAACGCGGCCTTAGAACCTGTAGGGGGGAGCAGTTAGCATGATAACATGCAACCGTTAGCATGATAACATGCAACCGTTAGCATGATAACATGCAACCGTTAGCATGATAACATGCAACCGTTAGCATGATAACATGCAACCGTTAGCATGATAACATGCAACC